TCTTGATATGTCCTTTGATAAGAAAAACGTTTCTGATGAATCAAAAATAACGAGTTTTGACATGTTTTTAAAGTTTGGTTTGCAAAATGCAATTAAAAGTCTGCATCTTATTTCTTTAAACACAAACACAGGCACCACAGTAGTGCCATAAAACTGTTCACTCTGTCAGAGCTTGGTTAGGGTACAGGCATACTACCCTGTTCAAGTTCGGCAAGTGAAGATCCCATTGAAGAGTATATATGACCTAAGGATTCACAGCTGGTGGCTGACAAAGCCATGGCTTCAGCCTAGGTCTTCCAACTTCAAATCAGATGCTCTTTCCACTACTACATTAGCTAGAACACGGTCTGCTCCAGTATGAAAGGCAATGTGCTGAGTAAGGTAAGAGCACTGGATGAAGAGCTGGGCCCAGGTTCTAGAACTGTAACTGACTGTGTGGTCTTGGATAAATCGCTTCATCTTCCCCTCTCCAACTGTATCAATGTCTGTATATATGTCTCTAAAATGAGGAGGCTGGAACAGATGAACTTCAAGATCTCTTCAATACAAACACTTCAGAGAAATCACTATTGATTAAGCAGAAGAGTAGAAAACCAAACAAGAAAAAAAAATCTTAAAATGTCTGAATCAGAAGGGATTTAAAAAGTCATCTAAGACAGAAGTTCTCAACCTGGATGTAACTGTTAAAATGTAGAGGAAATAAATAGTTACGTGTGAAACCATGCAGCTGTCAAGGCCCCACCTCCAGAGAACCTGATTCGGTTCTGGGACGAGGTCCAGGAGTTTGTAGTTTTAACTAAAACCCCAAGAGGGTCTGAGGCAAATAGTCTTCATAACACATTACAAAAAATATTACCTAAGAAGTACAGAGAAACTAGCTAGTTAGTGGCAGACAGCTATCTATGTTTCCTTCAATGTTTACTATGTACCAGAAACCACTTTTTAAGGTAAAAACTATTATTATCCCCACTTTACAAATGAGGAAACTGAGATACAAAGAGATTTTTTAATTTGCCCAAGAACACATTTCTGATAAGTGGCAGAGCAAGAATTCAAAGCCAGCCAGCCAGCCTGGCACCAGAACCTATATTCTCAACTACTAAGATATAAAAACTCTGCATTAAGATCAGGTTGACAGTTCAGCCAGGAGACAGAAATACACATATGAAGTTAAAAGGGCTGGGTACAACTTCTAAAAAGCATATTTTAATACTACATGCCAATTTTAATAGCCAAAAAAATCCAGCCAGGAGACAGAAATCCAGCTATAAGATTAAAATTTAGATACAGTTCTGAAAAGCATGCTTTAACAGTGTAGTAGTGTCAGTCACTCAGTCAAGTCCAACTCTTTGTAACCCTATGGACTATAGCCCACCAAGCTCCTCCGTGCATGGGATTTTCCAGGCAATACTGGAGTGTGTTGCCATTTCCTCCTCCAGGGGATCTTCCTGACCCAAGAATCAAACCCGGGTATCCCACAGTGCAGCCAGATTCTTTACTGTCTGAGCTACCATAGAAGCCCTGGTGCTCTAATACCACACGTCAATTTTAACAGACAAAGCAAATTAAGTAAACAATTTTTTTTAATAGCCTGCTACATAGAACAAAATACTTTGATGCATTTTGGGGAAATAAGTTATCACAATGATCTAAGTTACTCTGTGATGGAAGCTGGAAGGTTATATCTGCATATCTATTTTTAAGATCAGGAAGCTAGAATTGCTTTGTTCTCCAAGTCAGTTTCAAAGGAGCAGAAACTCACATCTGTTTAGGCAAAACTAGAAGCACATTTGCATCTCTTTATTACATTTCTTCATGGCAAATAAAACTACAGCTGCAAGAAATAAAAACCCTCCAAAAAAACAAAACAAATTGAATTAAAGAAATGTGAGGTGACAGTCCCTCATCTTCTCCATGTTCTCTTCCACAGTACCTGATTTTCAGACAGTTAGAGGCGCCATCCTCTAAGGCAGTTTCTGAAGACTGGGGTGGCAGATATGAAGTTTTCTCTTTGTCCAATTCAATGCTTCAAGTACTTATTCTATGTTGATCACCACAGAGAACCTCTTATGGGAAACTGACATACTAATTAGGGGCAGGGTACAAAACAATATGTCATATTAAGTGACAGCTAAATTCCCATGTGTAATAAATGCTATAGACTTCAGAGAAAGAACAACTCAATGTAAGGCTGAAATCAAGCCTTCCAAGTAAAAACACCTAAACAGCTCTGGGTTTATTCTCTCTCTCCTCAGCCCCTCACTTCTTGCTTAATTCTGCCAATGTTCTTTTGTGAAGCCTTTCATCTATCTCTGCTATTAAGTTAGAGTTCTCCTCACCTTGTCATTCTGCTTTTATAGCCCTTTACAAAGGCCATATATCAATTTATTATACAACAATATTCACAGTAAGCCACAATTATGTATGTGTATCCACATTTTTACATCAGGAAATTTAAGGTCAGTAATACCACATAACTTATCCAACATCATATAGTTTTCAACATGCTGCACTAGAATTCAAACATGCCTTTTTGTATTAAACCCCATACAGCAGTATGGTATGAGGCCTATAAGAAGACTTTTAAATTCTACCACTCCCAACTATCTGAATGATTCTTCTAAAACCACTTTATATATTAGACTCAAAAACCTTCAGCAGGCTTCCTACTCCTACTTCAGGCAATCCACGCCCTTCTCTATCTGGTTACAGTCAGTCAACAGAGTACCTGAGAAGCAACAGGCACTAACCATACACCTTTGCTCAAGGACATTTTTACCCGGTATGCCATCTGTCTCTCAAAATAAGGTCCCAGCTCCACCAGGGCTCCCACCCCTCCTCAAAATGGATCTCAGGGATCATTCTCTCTCTCACTTGAACTTCGTAAAAAGTGCACAAGTGAATGCCAAATTCTTTTATGTCCAGTATTTTGGACTTATACTCTGCTATACTGAGTATTTTCTGACAGCAGGATTTTTTATTTTTTCCTCTACCATTACATGTCTGAATTAAGATACTCTTAAATTACAGAGGTCATTCATGTTTATCATCTCATTTGATTTTCCCCCAAACTCTAATATTTCAGGTGAAGAAAGGAAAACAGTGACATTAAATGACTTGCTTATCTTCATATTACTTTTCAGTAATCACTGCCTTAGCAGACTGTCTATGCTTAGTATCTGCTTGAAGTGGAGGAAAAAGCAAGAGCACTCAATGGGACAGCATGAACACAGGCCATGAGGTGTTCACCCAACAGGAAAACAATTCCCAATGACCATCAATCCCCAATACTTTCACATAGCTTGGAGCAATTTCCCATCCCAACTGCTGGATAGGAACAGGCCAGAACATGTTCCTATCTCTTAAAGGTTAAGAGTGTATGTATGTAGTGTGTTCAGTCCCATCTGACTATTTGTGACCCCATGGATTGTAGCCTGCCAGTGGGATTTAGCAGGAAACCCCATCTGTCTATGGGATTTCCCAGGCAAAAGAATACTGAACACTATTTCCTACTCCAGGGGACCTTCCCGACCCAGAGATTGAACCTGAGCTTCTTGTGTCTCCTGCACTGGCAAGAGGATTCTTTATCACTGTGCCACCTGGGAAGCCCTAAAAGGGTGCTGTACTTAGTCGCTAAATCGTGTCCAACTTTTACAACCCCATGGACTGTAATCCACCAGGCTCCTCTGTCCATAGATTCTCCAGGCAAGAATACTGGAGGGAGTTGCCATACCCTCCTCCAGGGGATCTTCCCCACCCAGGGATCGAACCCAGGTCTCCCTCTTTGCAGGCAGATTCTTTAGCATTGCAGGCAGATTCTTTACTGTCTGAGCCACCAGGGAAGCCCGTGTAATTCAAAACCAATGACACCCAAAAAGAGAAGCAAAAAGATCTGGATAGGAACCCCTCAATATGATCACCTACTCATTTCTTAAGCACTCAGCAGGTGTTAAACACACAGAAGTCTAAAAGCTGTTTTCAATTAAAAGTTAACAATCCTGACTATGTTAAAAACCCCAAGCTTATCATTTCTCATCAAACTGACCCAGGACCCTGCAATGAGAGAACCGGAAGAAACCTTAGGATACATTCATTTTACAGATAAGGAAATAAGACACCGGGAGAAGCACATTTCAAGGTCACACAACTAATTAGAGGCAGCAATAGTACTAGGACCCGGATCTCCACACAATTGTTTCTTTCAAAATGCTATGTAAAGGGCAAGAAAGGCCAACTCAGGAGAATTTTCATTTTTCCTTTAAGTCCCTGCTGCTAGGCCCGCATTTAAAAAAAATAAAAACTGGATGGAGAGAGGGGAAAAGAGGTCAGCTTGAACAGGTAGCAAGCATATACATCCTATTCACTCAAGACACATTCACCTGGCCTGGTAGCAAGGCGAGAAAGAGGGGGAGGAGGTGAGGGGGTGGGGGGCAGTGTAGAAGGAGAAGGAAAAAAAAGATAAATCTTAAAGACTTCCTGTTAGGCCGTAGGAGAAGTCGGTACTCGAAGTTCAGTATTCGGGTATCGGGATAAAACGCCTAGAAACTTCAGGAAGCAAAAACCCAAGAGCACTTTGGAATCTGTAGCAGCATGCAAGTGTGGCGGTCGTCGTGGGCAGCTTGGAGACTACTAACTTCGAAGAGTTGCTTTCATTCAGTCGAGATTCAATCTTCCCTGTCCGTGAAATGAACACATTCAACAGTGGCCCCCCCAGCACCACCGAGGAAAAGCGATGGCGCTCTGAAGTGTGGGGCTAATTAAATTATCTTAAGAAGCTGTAGTGCCCAGCATTTAGGAGGAATATTTGCCAGAAGAAAAAAAAGTCCTCGAGAGAGCCCAGATTTGAGCTATGTAGGAAGCACCGGTTAAGGTTCCCACGGTGAGCCAACGAGAACTCCCTCTGAGAAGCCGCAGAAGAAAAGGGGGGCGAGGATGGGAAGGGTTCGCCGCCTCCCTGGCGCTCCCCAGGCTTCGACTGTCCCCAAGAATCAACTTCTCACCTTGTCCAGTAAACCGCTACGGTTACTGCCTGTCCCACAGCCGGAGCCACCGCCAGCCCCACTACTGCCTCCGCCACCACCGGCTCTCCCGCCCTGAGAAGATGCCGCCGCCATCTTGCTTGCCTCTGCGTTTCCCTCCCCTCCTAAACTTGTCCGAAACCGATTGGCTGAGACTGACGGCGTGACGTACTGCGCGGAGTCCATCGGGATCCGTAGTTGGAGCTGGCTGATGCGAGGTTGCCAGCGGAAGTGGCCGCGAGGCTTGCCGGGACTTGTAGTAATTAGAAGCTCCAGCCTTCGGTTGCCGTCTTCTCGGCCAGCCTCCGCGTCGCGGTTACTAAGAGGTGGAGGGGTTAGTGGCAGGCGCCACGGTGGAGCGGCTCCGAGATTCCGGAGAGGCTCAGAGGCGCGCATCCCGCCAGACCGGGACGTCGCCCCCGCGGACATCTCGGAGGCGGAAGCGACGCCGGAGGCAGGTGCGGCTGGAAACTTAGTTTGCGTGAGGGGTTAGTCTCCGCCGCTCCACATGTAGTGTTTCCCAAGGATGGGAGTAGGAACTCGTCCTTATCCTTGTTTAGCCTTGTTACTGCACTTACTGGTTTTCTGGTGACTGTCATCTTATTTTCGTGATACAGAGAACTCACAGTCACTGAGTGCCTGTTGCCTACCAGGCACTGTCTTCGGTCTTAAGTGCCTATATATCCATCCTCATTTAGTCACCTGACGGAACAGTTAGATGAGGAAACTAAGGAACTTAACCAAGGCCAGATAGCATGGATCAGAACCTAGTTTAGCAGTCAGGTGTTCGTGTCATCAAACCCGTGCCATGCTCCCTTTGTTACCACCTGGGGTCCTTGGACTCTTTAATCAATAGAAATTGATAAGAGGCCAGGCAAGGAATTCAGGCAATATTTTATTGGGACTCCACTTGCAGTAGGCTTCCCTGATAACTCAGTTGGTAAAGAATCCTCCTGCATTGCAGGAGACCCCTGTTCGATTCCTGGGTCGGGAAGATCCCCTGGAGAAGAGTAAGGCTACCCACTCCAGTATTCTGGCCTGGAGAATTCCACGGATTGTGTAGTCCATGGAGTCGCAAAGAGTCGGACACGACTGTGTGACTTTCACTTTCCTTTTGCAGCAGCAGAGAGCAAAGCAAGAAACAGTTGTGTGTGGGGGTGGCGAGTGACACTGTCCCTTAAATGGGGTGAGGGTAGGGAGCCAAATGGGTGAGGTGGGGGAGTGGCTTACTGTGGTCTGCCCACACCTTTTGTGGTGCTGTGTGCAGGGATCATGCACAGTATCCTACTTTTGCTCCTGGCACCTCAGAAGTGGCAGTTGGATTTTGGCCTTTTTATGTGTTATTGTTCATAACTTGCCCCACCTGTGCATGCATGCAGTTATTTTTAGCCCCTTCTAGTTTATTTGTATTAATATTTTTTTGCTGTGCAAAGAGGTGTTTGTCCAGGTACTAGCACTCTAGTAAAGGGTCCCAGGTCCCAGCCTATATAACCTTTGCCTCTCTGCCTTTACAGTTTTCAGTTCAGTTCAGTTCAGTTGCTCAGTTGTGTCCGACTCTTTGCGACCCCATGAATCGCGCAGCACGCCAGGCCTTCCTGTCCATCACCAACTCCCGGAGTTTACTCAAACTCATGCCCATCGACAGTTTTAGGATGTAATAATATTATAAATTTTTATTAAATTTTTTACACAATATTTATTGAGCACCAACCTTGCTTGCAGCTGTACTAAGAGATACTAGGGGATCAGAAAAGACCTGTTCCCTGAGTTACCATGTAACAGGACCCAATACACTATTAGCTACCACATTGCCTCATTTTTTTTGTTTTTGATCCCTATGAAATTCCTCATGGTGGTTTAGTCACTAAGTCGTGATAGACTCTTGAGACCCCATGGACTGTTGTCTGCCAGGCTCCTCTGTCCTTGAGATTCTCCAGGCAAGAATACTGGAGAAGGTTGCCATTTCCTTCTCCAGGGGATCTTCCCAACATAGAGATTGAACCCAGGACTCCTGCTTTGTAGGCAGATTCTTTACCAACTGAGCTCAAGGGAAGCCCTTGAAATTCCTCATATAAATGTCCAAATCCCTGAACAAATTAAGTACTTACTATGGAAATGTTAGATGCAGTTTCTTCATTTATGTGAAGCAATCCAGTCAGATGCCTCTGTAGCTTCATGTTTATCTTTTAATAACTTGTTGAGTTTCAAGACCCAGCTCTAATGTCACCTGCTCTGTGAAACCTTTCCCGATCCTCCTCCTTTCTTTACAGACAGAATGGAGAACTCCATAGCATTGTGTTCATGGTTCTGTTTGGTTCAGTAAGCACTCAGTTGAGCCTCTTCAGTGGCCCAGACGAGGCGTGGGTGATAAAGATATGGTTAAGACCCAGGCCTGGCCATGAGAGGCTCCCAGCCTGAGGTTGGGGTGTGAGAAGTGGGAAACAGATAGGTAAGCAGGTCATTGTAATACAGTGTGGCACAGTGCCTCCATTAAGAGGTGGGGTAAGATGGTAGCACAGATAAGGGTCAACCAAAGGAGGAGGATATACAGGGAAGCTTTTTGTATGAGTCAGGCAAAGAAGAGGGGCAAAAGTGTGATAGGCCAGAGGGATGGGAAAAAAGCAGATGTATGCAGATGAGAAGCATTAGTCTGTGAATGTGTGTATTTTGGAGCTGGGAGACACTACCATCAGATTGAGATTAGCTGCTTCACGTTTGAGACAGAGACGAGAGGTGGCTGAAGCTAACAGGTAGGCAGCCTGTAAGTCTTGGTCTTTCTTTTTGCCATCACACAGGTAAATGTCATACTTTTCTTAGGGATTACTTCCTAGACAATGTAACCTTAGGGTTATGTGCCCTTCCTAACGCATTAGTCATAAATCTACACCTTCTCATCTGGTATTCCTCATAGGAAACTGTAATTTCCAGGATACTTAGTGAATATCTTTTCCCTGATCGTGTCTTTAAGTTTTGTCTTTGCTGCTTTTGTCATGCGTAAGTTTATTTTGTGTAAATGGTTGTATAAATGATCCTTCCCTTTCTAATTTGTGATTCTCACTTCCTATTTAAGCTATCTAGCCCCAGAGAAAACTAACCAGTCTGATCACATGGACCACAGTCTTGTGTAACTCAATGAAACTATGAGCCATGCCGTGTACGGCCACCCAAGACGGATGGGTCATGGTGGAGAGTTCTGACAAAATGTGATCCACTGGAGAAGGGAATGGCAAACCACTTCACTGTTCTTGCTTTGAGAACCCCATGAACAGTATGAAAAGGCAAAAAGATATGACACTGAAAGATGAACTCCACAGGTAGGTAGGTGCCCAATATGTTATGTTACTGGAGATCAGTGGAGAAATAACTCCACAAAGGATGAAGAGATGGAGCCAAAGCAGAAACAACACCCAGTTGTGGATGTGACTGGTGATGGAATTAAAGTCTGATGCTGTAAAGAACAGTATTGCATAGGAACCTGGAATGTTAGGTCCATGAATAAAGTCAAATTGGAAGTGGTCAAACAGGAGATGGCAAGAGTGAGCATTGACATTTTAGGAATCAGCGAACTAAAATGGACTGGAATGGGTAAATTTAACTCAGATGACCATTGTATCTACTACTGTGGGCAAGAATCCCTTAGAAGAAATGGAGTAGCTGTCATAGTCAACAAAAGAGTCGAAAATGCAGTACTTGGATACAACTCAAAAACGACAGAATGATCTCTGTTCGTTTCCAAGGCAAACCATTCAATATCACAGTGTTCCAAGACTATGCTCTGACCAGTAATGCTGAAGAAGCTGAAGTTAAATGGTTCTTATGAAGACCTACAAGACCTAGAACTAACACTCCCAAAAGATGTCCTTTTCATTATAGGGGACTGGAATGCAAAAGTAGGAAGTCAAGAAATACCTGGAGTAACAGGCAAATTTGGCCTTGGTGTACAGAATGAAGCCGGGCAAAGGCTAACAGAGTTTTGCCAAGAGAACGCATTGGTCATAGCAGATACCCTCTTCCAACAACACAAGAGACAACTCTACACATGGACATCACCAGATAGTCAGTACCAAAATCAGACTGATTATATTCTTTGCAACCAAAGATGGAGAAGCTCTATACAGTCAGCAAAAATAAGACAGGAAGCTGCTGTGGCTCAGATCATGAACTCCTTATTGCCAAATTCAGACTTAAATTGAAGAAAGGAAGGAAAACCACTAGACCATTCAGGTATGACCTAAATCAAATCCCTTATGATTATACAGTGGAAATGACAAGTAGATTCAAGGGATTAGATCTGATAGAGTGCCTGAAGAACTATGGACAGAAGTTTGTGACATTGTACAGAAGGCAGTGATCAAGACCATCTCGAAGAAAAAGAAATGCAAAAAGGCAAAATGGTTGTCTGAGGAGGCCTTACAAATAGCTGTGAAAAGAAGAGAAGTGAAAGGCAAAGGAGAAAAGGAAAGATACACCCATTTGAATGCAGAGTTCCAAACAATAGCAAGGAGAGAAAAGAAAGCCTTCCTCGGTGGTCAATGCAAAGAAATAGAGGAAAACAGTAGAATGGGAAAGACTAGAGATCTCATCAAGAAAATTCGAGATACCAAGGGAACATTTCATGCAGAGATGGGCGCAATAAAGGACAGAAGTGGTATGGACCTGACAGAAGCAGAAGATATTAAGAAGAGGTGGCAAGAATACACAGAAGAACTGTACAAGAGATCTTTCATGACCCAGATAACCACGATGGTGTCATCACTCACCTAGAACCAGAAATCCTGGAATGCGAAGTCAAGTGGGTCTTAGGAAGCATCACTACAAAAAAAGCTAATGGAGGTGATGGAATTCCAGCTGAGCTGTTTCAGATCCTGAAAGATGATGCTGTGAAAGTGCTGCACTCAATGTGCCAGCAAATTTGGAAAACTCAGCAGTGACCACAGGACTAGAAATGGTCAGTTTTCATTCCAGTTGCAAAGAAAGGCAATCCCAAAGAATGTTCAAACTCCCACACAACTGCACTCATCTCACACGTTAGTAAGCTGCTGCTGCCAAGTCACTTCAGTCGTGTCCGACTCTGTGCGACCCCAGAGATGGCAGTCCACCAGGCTCCAACGTCCCTGGAATTCTCCAGGCAAGAACACTGGAGTGGGTTGCCATTTCCTTCTCCAATGCATGAAAGTGAAAAGTGAAAGTGAAGTCACTCAGTCGTATCCAACTGTTCGCAACCCCAGGGACTGCAGCCTACCAGGCTCCTCCGTCCATGGGATTATCCAGACAAGAGTACTGGAGTGGGTTGCCATTGCCTTTTCCGACATGCAAGTAAAGTAATGCTCAAAATTCTCCAAGCCAGGCTTCAACAGTACGTGAACCATGAACTTCCATATGTACAAGCTGGATCTAGAAAAGGCAGAGGAACCGGAGATCAAATTGTCAACATCCAGTGGATCATCGAAAAAGGAAGAGAGTTCCAGAAAAACATCTACTGTGCTTCATTGACTCTGCCAAAGTCTTTGACTGTGTGGATCACAACAAATTGTGGAAAATTCTGCAAGAGATAGGAATACCAGACTACCTTACCTGCCTCCTGAGAAATCTGTATGCAAGTCAGGAAGCAACAGTTAGAACTGGACATGGAACAACAGACTGGTTCCAAATAGGAAAAGGAGTACATCAAGGCTGTATGTTGTCACCATGCTTATTTTACTTATATGCAGAGTACATCATGAGAAATGCTGGACTGGATGAAGCACAAGCTGGAATCACAGATTGCCAGGAGAAATATCAGTAACTTCAGATATGCAGATGACACCACCCTTATTTATGGCAGAAAGCGAAGAAGAACTAAAAAGCCTCTTGATGAAAGTGAAAGAGGAATTAGCTTAAAACTCAACATTCAGAAAACTAAGATCATGGCATCTGGTCCCATCACTTCATGGCAAATAGATGGGGAAACAATGGAAACAGTGACAGACTTTATTTTTTGGGGCTCCAAAATCACTGCAAATGGTGACTGCAGCCATGAAATTAAAAGATGCTTGCTCCTTGGAAGAAAGATTATGACCAACCTAGACAGCATATTAAAAAGCAGAGACATTACTTTGCCAAGAAAGGTCCGTCTAGTCAAAGCTTTGGTTTTCCCAGTGGTCATGTATGGATGTGAGAGTTGGACTATAAAGAAGACTGAGCGCCAAAGAATTGATGCTTTTGAACTGTGGTGTTGGAGAAGACTCTTGAGAGTCCCTTGGACTGCAAGGAGATCCAACCAGTCCATCCTAAAGGAAATCAGTCTTGAATATTCATTGGAAAGACTGGTGCTGAAGCTGAAACTCCAATACTTTGGCCACCTGATGTGAAGAACTGACTCATTTGCAAAGACCCTGATCCTGGGAAAGATTGAAGGTGGGAGGAGTAGGGGACGACAGGATGAGATGGTTGCATGGCATCATCAACTCAATGGACATGAATTTGAGTAAGCTCCGGGGGTTGGTGATGCACAGGGAAGCCTGGTGTGCTGCAGTCCATGTGGATGCAAAGAGTGGGACATGACTGAGAAACTGAACTGAACTGAGCCCCACCTCATTGTCATAAAATTATTCTCTTCCTGTCTATGTCTCTGTCTTCTTTTCTGCCTATTTCTGGAATCTTTAGTCCTGTGGCATTTTTCTAGGCCCCAGACACTTTGGAGCAAAGTGTCACAGAAGGATATAATTAATGGGAACATTAAAGAGATCTAAATGAGAGACTAGGAAGAAGTGCAATATCTATTTTATAGGTGAAGAAACGGAAGAAACAGAATAAAAAGGACGTCAAGAGGTCTCTTCCAAGATCAAAGATCAAGTAAGTGCTATGCAGAACTAAAGTCATCATATTCTGTGAGTTACTGTAGTTTTATCCAACAGTCATCTTTGACCTTTTCCAGGTAACTGTGTACTCATTCATCCATTCATTTACCCATCTAGCAGATTGTGGTTAGTCCCAAGAGGGATTTCCTGAAAGACAGGACAGTGACTCCGTAACTGTCTTTCCCCATCCAGTCATCCATTCATCCCTTCATCTTCCTGACACATTTTTAATGAGTTCTAGACTCTATGCTAGGCTCTGGGATTATATAGGTAAATAGGTATTGTAGGCCCCATAGCAGTTGGGAAGTTGATAAGGGAATAAAAATTATAACAAAGTGATAAGTATTCTGCTAGGAGAAGTAGTGGGTATCACAGAAATACATGGAAAGGATCTCCAACCCTTTTCAGGGTGGCAGTCAGGAAATTCACAGTGCCCTGTGTTGAATCAGAGGAGATAACAAGATCACTCATTCATTCCATTTGTTCAGTTTAGTCGCTCAGTTGTGTCCGACTCTTTGCGACTTCATGAATTGCAGCACGCCAGGCCTCCCTGTCCATCACCAACTCCTGGAGTTTGCTCAAACTCATGTCCATTGAGTCATTGATGCCATCCAGCCATCTCATCCTCTGTCATTGCCTTCTCCTCCTGCCCCAAGTCCCTCCCAGCATCAGGGTCTTTTCCAATGAGTCAACTCTTCGCATGAGGTGGCCAAAGTATTGGAGTTTCAGCTTCAGCATCAGTCCTTCCAATGAATACCCAGGACTGATCTCCTTTAGGATGGACTGGTTGGATCTCCTTGCAGTCCAAGGGACTCTCAAGAGTCTTCTCCAACACCACAGTTCAAAAGCATCAATTCTTTGGCGCTCAGTCTTCTTTATAGTCCAACTCTCACATCCATACATGACCACTGGGAAAACCAAAGCTTTGACTAGACGGACCTTTCTTGGCAAAGTAATGTCTCTGCTTTTTAATATGCTGTCTAGCTCGGTCATAACTTTCCTTCCAAGGAGTAAGCGTCTTTTAATTTCATGGCTGCAATCACCTTCTGCAGTGATTTTGGAGCCCCCCAAAATAAAGTGTGACACTGTTTCCACTGTTTCCCCATCTATTTGCCATGAAGTGATGGGACCAGATGCCATGATCTTAGTTTTCCGAATGTTGAGCTTTAAGCCAACTTTCTCACTCTCCTCCTTCACTTTCATCAAGAGGCTTTTTAGTTCCTCTTCACTTTCTGCCATAAGGGTGGTGTCATCTGCATATCTGAGGTTATTGATATTTCTCCCGGCAATCTTGATTCCAGCTTGTGCTTCTTCCAGCCCAGCATTTCTCATGATGTACTCTGCATATTTTAAATAAGCAGGGTGATGATATACAGCCTTGACGTACTCCTTCTCCTATTTGGAACCAGTCTGTTGTTCCATGTCCAGTTCTAACTGTTGCTTCCTGACCTGCATATAGGTTTCTTAAGAGGCAGGTCAGGTGGTCTGATATTCCCATCTCTTTCAGAATTTTCCACAGTTTATTGTGATCCACACAGTCAAAGGCTTTGGCATAGTCAATAAAGCAGAAATAAATGTTTTTCTGGAACTCCCTTGCTTTTTCGATGATCCAGCGGATGTTGGCAATTTGATCTCTGGTTCCTCCGCCTTTTCTAAAACCAGCTTGAACATCTGGAAGTTCACGGTTCACATATTGCTGAAGCCTGGCTTGGAGAATTTTGAGCTTTGCTTTACTAGCATGTGAGTTGAGTACAATTGTGCGGTAGTTTGAGCATTCTTTAGGATTGGAATGAAAACTGACCTTTTCCAGTCCTGTGGCCACTGATGAGTTTTCCAAATTTACTGCCTGAGTTTTCCAAATATACATTCATTCCATAGGTGAAGCCTATTATGTGCCAGGTGTTAGATGCTGGGAGTGAAGAGATGAACATCATAGATGCTGTCCTTCCTCAGAGCCTAATTAGGGAGATTAGAAATATGCATAAAAAAAACTCTGGGCCTTGGGAGGACCACTGTATCCTTCATTTGACTCACATTTGTTTACTGAGTGTTTCTTGTGAGCTTTCCCGGAGTAGAAGAGAGACAGTGAATTGGACATGTTTTGAGACTTTAAGGTTCAGAGACCATTGAAAGAGTCCCTTCATGATTGTTAGTAATCTCACGCGGTAGAAAGGGTTCCAGCCACAAAAGATGTACAGAAGAAACACCCCAGAGTTTAGCTAAAGCAGCAGTTATTTCCCTCTGGAAGTTTCAGTGAAGGTATTATGGAAGGGATGGTGTATGGGTTGGGTCTAGAAAGAAGCTTTTTTTTTTTTCTCTATGACCTCATTAATTCTTAGAACAGTTCTCTGAGCACAGGTTTAATCCTCATTTTGTATTGAGAAATCTGAGGCACAAAGAGGTAAAGTGATTTTCCCAGGGTCACTCAGCTCAGTGGTAGAAACTACTCTCAAACTTAAGTCCCTGTCTGTAAAATTGTTGCCCCCTCCTATTGCACCCATCTCGTTGTCATATTTGTCTCTTCTGGGAAACATTTTCTCAGGAAACCTGATCCCAGCTCTCTACTCTGCTCCTCCCATGGACTGAATCTTCCCAGACCCTCCATCTTAGGGTCCTACCTTCTTGCCAGGGTCTCCTTTCCCCTGGCCAGGGGCTTACAGATTCCCAAACCTCTGCTACCCTAAATTGTCTAAAGCTATCCCAAAGCAAGTTTAGGAATTACTGGATCCCTTTAAAGAAAAATCTAAATCTATAAGAGCTCAAGGTTTAAAAAATTTAGATCTTCTATTAGAAATTTCTTTCCCTGAAGGAAGTGGCATTGGAGCCTAATCTTAAAGCACGAGATCAGCGAGATGAACAGGATGGAAGAGCTGTTTGGGGCCAAAGGAACACTAAGAACAGAGGCATGGACCTGTAGGGCCTCAGAGAGAGGCTGTGTGTTGGGGATGGTCCTGGTGGGCTCATAGGCTGTGTTGGGGTGAGAGTGGCCCTGCCCCTCCTCACTCCTCACTTCTTGTTTTCCTTGCTTGGCTCTCAGGGTCATGGCCTCCGCAGGACTCTACAAGCTGGATGATGGGAAGCCTCACCTGAGCAACTGCTTTCCAGCCAAAAACCTGCTTCGGATGCCAGAGAAAGGTCAGGTGACTTCTCAAATCAGAACCTTTGCCTTACACCCAGCACCTGCTTCAGAATGTCTCTAACACCCATGTCTTCCTCTTCAACCCATTCACTAATGTTCCCTGCCCCATCCTATCCCTTCCCTTCTAATCCATCTTCCCCCCAGCAGCCTCAGGGAATCTAATTTTTTTTTATCCTATTTATGTATGTATTGGGGCTTACCAGGTGGCTCAAACGGTAAATAATCTGCCTGCAATGTGGGAGACCTGGGTTAGATCCCTGGGTTGGGAAGATCCCCTGGAGAAGGGAATGGCAACCCACTCCAGTATTCTTGCCTGGAGAATTCCATGGACAGAGGAGCCTGGTGGGCTACAGTTGATGGGCTCGCAAAGAGTCTGACATGACTGAGCAACTAACACTTTCACTTTCATGTATCTGTTTAAAATGTCATTTTTATACAATTTTTCAAGATTACTATTCATTTACAGTTATTACAAGATATTGGCTGTATTCCCCATGTTGTACAGTACATCCTTGAGCCTAACTTACACCCAGTAGTTTGTACCTCCCACCCCTACATTGCCCCTCCATCCCTCTTCTCCGCTTGGAACCACTAGTTTGTTCTCTGTGTCTGTGAGTGTGCTTCTTCAATTTTTTTATTCACTAGTTTGTTGTATTCTTTAGGTCCTACCTATAAGCAATATCTTATATGGGCAGTTTTTCTCTTTCTCTGTCTGACTTATTTCACTTAGTATAATGCCCTCAAGGTCCATTATGTTGTTGCAAATGGCAAAGTTTCTTTTTAATGGTTAAGTGTACCCCACTGTATATATGTGCCACAGATTTTATCTGTTCATCTGTTGATGGGTGCCTAGGTCATTTCCATGTCTTGGCTGCTGCAAATAATGCTGCTTTGAACACTGGGGTGTGTTTTTGAATTAGTAACTTTGTTTTTTTGAATTGATTTTTAAAAAATATTTGTTTTAAATAATTTTTTAAATTATTTTAAATAATTAAATGTTTTAATTTTTTGTTTTAAATTATTGTTAAATTATCTTTGGCTGTGCTGGGTCTTTGTTGCTGCTGGACTTTTCTCTGGTTGCAGTGAGTAGCGGCAACTCTTTGTTGTAGTGTGTGAGCTTCTCATTGCAGTAGCTTCTCTTGTCATGGAGCACAAGTTCAAGGGCATGTGGGCTTCAGTAGCTGCAGTGCATGGGCTCAATAGTTGTGGTTCCCAGGCTGTAGAACACAGACTCAATAGTTATGGCGCACAGGCTTAGTTGCTTCATGGCATGTGGGATCCTCCCAGACCAGGGATCGAACTTTGTCTCCTGCACTAGGAGGTAGATTCTTTACCACTGAGCTACCAAGGACACCCAGTGACTTTTTTTTTTAATATATATATATACCCAGGAGAGGAATTTCTGCATCATATGGTCTTGCTATTTTTAATTTTTTGAGGAACCTCCATAATGTTTTCCGCTGTGGCTGCACCGATTTCCATGCCCACTAACAGTGTACACAGGTTCTCAGGGAACCTTCTAATGTACACCACAGTGTTCTCTTCTGTTCAGTGACTTCTCACTGCTGTTCCTTTGCCTTTCTGCTCTACCCCATTCCTTGATTTATGCCCTGTTTCATAGTGTTCTATTTTCACATAGCTTTTTAAAAAATATTGTTTATTTTATAATTGAAGGATAATTGCTTTACAGAATTTTGTTGTTTTCTGTCAAACATCAACATGAATCAGCCACAGGTATACATATATCCCCTCCCATTTGAACCTCCCTCCCACCTCCCTCCCCATCCCACCCCTCTAGGTTGATACAGAGCCCCTGTTTGAGTTTCCTGAGACATGCAGCAAATTCCCGTTGGCTATCTATTTTACATATGGTAATGTAAATTTCCATGTTACTCTCTTCATACATCTCGCCCTCTCCTCCCCCTCCCCATTTCCATGAGTCTGTTCTCTATTCACGTAGTTCTTTACCATTTGCCTGGAATGTTCCAGCCCTCGTTCCAGTTGTCCAGGCTCCTCCCATCCCACAGGCTCAGCTCGTCTCCCACATCTTCCAATAAGCCGTGTCCAGCTCCTCCAGCTCTCAGTGCCCATCCTCTCTCGTGAGCCATCTTCCTTTCTGTGTTTCTTGTTTGACATACAGTCATATTCTGCCTAACTCTTAAATAAAGTGGCTTAAACTTGACTCTGCTAAATAGTTTTTCAAGCATTTATCTAATTAAAGACTCCTCTGGGACAGGGACCCCCCCGCCCCGCCCCAATGCTGAGCAGAGTCCTACACATGGAACACTGCTGAGAAGTGTGGTTTCACTGGATTGGATTTGTTGCTTTGAAAGTGTAGAACAAGGGAAAAGTACCACTAGCTTACCCTGGATGGAGTGGCTTGCTGGTCACTCTCTACATGGAATAGTGGAAGAACCTTCTCCTTCAGCTTGTCCTTCCCTCTTCTCTTGAGTGATTTTACTTTTCACATAGGACCTTCTTTGGCCACCTAGTTGTTTAAAACCCTCCTGTGGAGCTGTCAGTAAGAACTCATGATTTCACGCCCACACTCCCTCACACACACATAGATGGACAGAGAAATAAATATAGCTGTATATATCTTCATGTGTTAGTATACATATGTATATTTCCTGGCCCACGGAGGGCAATAATACTTCAGTTGCAAAGGAATGCTTGGCACCTCAGTGTTGGTTTCTAAATACCATTCTCCAATAAAAGAAGCCAGGGCTTCTCAGGCAAAAAGTTGTTTCTAGGGCTAAGTCAGGAAAAGATACACTTTGAGCCAGAAAATAAAGCAGTGCTCAGAAAAATGATGGGGGCAATTTGAAAGGACATAGGTTCCAACCTGAGGGAATGCCCAGTGGGTAAAGCTGGAACAGTATGAGCAGCAAAATAAATAAAGGTAAAATTGGGTTGTAATTTGTAGAATTACTTTTGATTTATAGTCATGATCTCATATGATATAATTAAACTCTGATTACTTAAATAAGTGGGGGAGAAGAGCAGCTCTTCCTTACAATGGAATTCTAGTTAATAAATGTAGAAGGAATGAAGGAAATAGAAAATCACTGTCAAAACATCACAATAATAATTTTTACAGGCAAGAAGGTCTACAATGTTCTGTGGAGAAATAGAACCAGTAGAATATGTGTGTGTGTGTCTCTCTGTATGTATATCCTGCAGGTTTTGTTTTCATATACATATATGTGTGTATATATGGGGACAAACACACAGATAAATTATATATTTCAAGGAATTGGTTTATGAAATGTGGAGGCTTGCAAGTCTGAAATCTGTAAGACAGGCAGGCTGAAAACTCAGGGAAGAGCTCATGCTGCAGTCTTAAGGCAAAATTTCTTCTTACTTTGGGAAGCCTGTTTTTTCACTTTTAAGGTCTCTTAGGTGAAAGGGTAAGGCCCACTCATTATCCATGGATTGTTTCAGGTACTTAAAGTCAACTGGTTGTCAGAAACACTTAGATTAGTATTTGATTGACTTAACTGCTTACCATAGCTCAGCAAAGTTGACACATAAAAGTAACCATCATAGATGCTCGAATTCATGGGTTAAAGTATGATGAAAAACAGGTTATTTGTATAACATCTTGAGCTGTCTTTATTAATTTCAAAGGGACTTCTTAGTAGAGTAACTAAGCTGACACCACCTTGGCTGAGTGATCAAAATGAACATCACCAGTAATAAGACATAATTGGCATCATGCGTGCTCTGATATGTTGTGCTGAGGAGGGCACAGCACCGCTTCTTGCCAAACTACAAGGCCTTTAGTCTAAATTATAGGGGGAAAAAATCAAACAAACTCAAATTGAGAGACATTTTACAAAGCAATTGACTACTGATTAGTACTCTTCAAAAGTGTCAGGATCACACAAGAAAAATAAAGACTGCAGAACTGTCACGGATTAGGGGAGACTAAGGTGATGTGACAGCTAAATGAAATGTGAGATCTTGGATAGGACCCTGGAACAGAAAGAGAACATTAGTGAGAAAACTGACGAAAATCAAATAAAGGCTGCAGATTAATTACTAATGTTATGCCATTGTTAATTTCTTGGCTTCACCCATTGTATTATGATTATATACGATGTTAACATTAGGGAAACTGGGTGAAGGCTGTACAGGAACTCTATGTTATTTTTACAGCTTTTCTGGAAGTCTAAAATTATCTCAAAATGAAAATTTACAGGTGGGGGGAACCTTCCTATAGACAGGTACTCTTCCTGCTAAAAACCTCCCGCATTAAAACCTAAACTCCTTATTCTGGTCCTCAGGACCTTTCAGATTTGACTCTGCTGACCTCCTCAGCCTCATCTCTTTTCCTTCATGTCCAACTCCCGACACTCCAGGCCTTCCTTCCTGGGTGTGTTGGCAGTTTTGGCATCAGCTCAGGCTGGAGTGTTCAAGAGTGTGGACTGCTGGGATAGGACAAACGTCCATGTGCTAGATGAGGGCAGCCCTGGGAAATGAGTGCCCAGGCTGTCGGGCCCTGGGTGGGAATAGGAACCGGCTCACATCAGGCATAGGCAGAAGCAGCATCCAAGAGCCAGGATTAGCAGCAGTACTCAGGTGAGCCAAGGCAAGCCCCAGGATTAGCAGCAATACTCAGGTGAGCCAAGGCAAGCCCCTGAGGTGGGGTAGTGGGCTCTGTGGCAGGGAGACAGTGTTTAGAGGCCCCAAGCTGGTCCCCACAGCTCTGTGCTGTTCTTTGCAGTTCCAATCTTTCATGCCTCTGAGTACTTCTTGTGCCCTTTTCTCTGCCCAGGCTGCTTGGTTTTTCCCTCTTCACTTGGTCAGCTTTCAATATACAAGACTCAGCTCATCCCCTAGGCTGGTAGCTCCCTACTCTGGGCTTCACAGCACTCTTTACATTTAATGAGCACCTTTGAGTCCTCAGTCATATTCTTCTCCATAGCCCCAACTCCTGCCACAAAGTCGTGCTCAGAAAAGGTCCGAATGAATGATTGTGGGTGGGGGCTGTGGCTCAGGGTCCATTCAGCCACACTCAGTGCGGTAAGCTCTGTGTAGGCCTTAGGAACATTGAGATGGATGAATCAGAGCCTGTATTCTCTTTGCCCTCTAGAGGGCAAGACAGACAATAAACAAGTGAACAGTGATAGATATTGAACAATGAAGAGTGAACAATGAACAGTATCTGTCCATAGGAAAGTTTACCCCCACCTGTAAATTTTCATTTTGAGATAATTTTAGACTTCCAGAAAAGCTGTAAAAATAACACAGAGTTCCTGTACAGCTTTCACCCAGTTTCCCTAATGTTAAATGAATGAACTACTGATGAAGGAGAGAACAGATTCTAGAATGTTGTCATGATTTTTATTGGATAGGCTTACTAATGAACCTCATATTTTCTTTACTTGTGTACAATATCTAGTTCTTTGTACAGTGGACATGTATTGAGTCTTTTAAAAATGCCGGCTGTCCTTTGATTTTTTTTATCCTGAGCTCCTGACACAACCTTTGCCTTGTAACAACAGAATTGAGGGTAAGGTCCAGGAAGATGGAACCCATTGAGTTGGTGTCACACAATGGACCCAAGAGATGACAAATGGTGCAATAACTAGCTGGCCCAGGAAAAAAGGATCAACTTAACTGAGGATAGTCAGAGAAGTCTTCACAGAATAGGAAATACTTTATCTGTAATCGTGAAGGAACCGTTAAGAGTTCAAAGGCAAAAATGTGGAGGAAAGAACTGGGCAAGTCATTCTACACTTTTGAGTCTTTGCCTTTTTGTCTGTAAAACGGGGGCAGTAACATGTTTCATTGGGTTTGGAAGCCAATTAAATAAGACAAGTATATAGATGTTCCCCTGCCCCCCGCAACCCCAGTTGTAGCACAGTATCTGGTGCATATTAGGTAATGAGGAGCTAATTTTCAATTTTGTGTTAAAGATAAACATTCTGGAAGGGCACTAGTTTTGGCTTTGAAGGAGTCTACTGCTGTTCTCATCTTTTCACTGTTCTCATCTTTTCAGCAGGCCGAGGACACTGGCTAGTGGCTCGGAAAGGTAGCCTCAAGAAGAAGCCCAAGAATGTGACTGGGACAACAGCTGAAGGTCAGAAAGGCCAGAAGGTTTCTTTTGAGGTTGGAGGGAAGAAAGGTTCTCGACAGGAAAACCGAGCAGACACTCCTGGACACGTGCTGGACCAGGCTTTTCTGGTGAGAGTCAATGCATTCTGGAAGGGCTGGCAGCACTAGCTTGGTGGGGTTGGGAGGGGGGTGCGGGTGGCAAGGACTTGCCCTGCTTCCCTCTGGTACAGTTACCTCCCATCCATCCCAAACTATTCAAATGGGTTTGGCAAATGGAGTGCAGCCAAGATGCTGAAGGGACCCAGAGCTTTCTTTATATGTAAAGTTTTCTTTACATCCACTTTGTGAGATAGGTGTTATCATCCCTGTTACATTGTTGCCATTGTGCAAATGAGAAAACTGAGGCCCCAAGAAGTAATGTGCCTTGGCCAAAGTTCCTCAGCTAGTAATTAGGACTCTAGTTTACCCTGGATTAGAACTACTCAGAATTAAAACTCTTGTCTACTGACTGTAAAGCCTTTGCCTTTACATGTTGTCAGGTAAAAAGTCTAAAAAGTCTTCATTGAGCCAGAGAGACAAGGCAGCAGGTCAGGGTAAACAGTAAATTTAAAAATCCTATTCCAGCACCCTGCTGGCTCAGTTGGTAAAGAAACTGCCTGCAATACAGTAGACCTGGGTTTGATCCCTGGGTCGGGAAGATCCCCTGGAGAAAGAAATGGCAGCCCACTCCAGTATTCTTACCTGGGAAATCCCATGGACAGAGGAGCCTATCAGGCTACAGTCCATGGGGTCACAAGAGTTGGATGCAACTTAGCAACTAAACCACCATGACTGTTCCAGCACATAGTCGGGTATAAAGGCTTCTACTCTGCTCTAGGGAGACTCTAGGAGCAGGGGACTAGGGAGCTCACATACCCTCACCTTTGTCCTTGAGGTTTAGTGTCTGGCTGAAAGCCAAGGATGCCGACTGGATATACCTAGTGTCTGGGTCAGGCTTTACAAAGAGGACTGGGCTGGTAATTTTTCATTTACTCTGTGCAATGCCTCAGTGGCTTTGCACAGAAAGACCTATTTTGTAAACCAGTATTAATGTACAGTCCGATGCTCATAGCTTCCCAAGAACTCCCTGGCAGCTTACTTAGTTCCCAGACTCTGCTTGTGGTTCCCAAGAGAAAGGTTCCTGCACAGATCAATGTTGAAAGAGAGCTTTAAGGAGGCATCTCACCTCAAGGTGGGTAGCATAGGCTTTTTGCAGAATACTGTGGAGTTTCTTTGATGATTAGGTCCACTTCTCGTTAGGGATGAGGAAGATTGAAGCAGCAGTACTGGGAACGGGCGGAACCACTTCCTGTAGTGCTCTTCTTTTCCCCTTTATTTTCAGCATTTCAGCATATCCACATTGAGATCACTTGTTACCCATGTTGCCACTTGGAAAAACAGAAGCGTCAACGGTGCTTCTCAGAGCAATGGGAGTACCTACCCCCTGTTGGCTATGAATGTTTCACTGGCACTTCATAATGCCCTACTGCACAGTCCCCTTATGCCAAGTCCCCAAAATACCTCTTCTCTAGTGTTTACTAAACTGTCCTAATAATGGCACTGCTGTCTACCCACTCACCAAACAGGGAACCTGGGTTTCTCCTCAACACGTGCCTCTCCCTCACTGCCCCCATCCCTGCTATTCCCCAGCCCTGGTATTTCTACTAGTTGTCAAATCTGTATTCTTATCCTCATCTGCACTTCCCCCACCCTAATCTGGGCCACCATCATCTTTTATAGTAGTAATTGAGTTCCTATGGTAATTAGTAACTTCCTAACTAGTTTGAACTAACTGGGATGCTTTTGTTTCACATAAAAAGAAGCCAGCATCATGGTGCTGCTGCTGCTGCTAAGTCGCTCTGTCGTGTCCGACTCTGTGCGACCCCATAGATGGCAGCCCACCAGGCTCTCCCGTCCCTGGGATTCTCCAGGCAAGAATACTGGAGTGGGTTGCCATTTCCTTCTCCAATGCATGAAAGTGAAAAGTGAAAGTGAAGTCGCTCAGTCATGTCTTGACCCTTAGCGACCCCATGGACTGCAGCCTACCAGGCTCCTCCATCCATGGGATTTTCCAAGCAAGAGTACTGGAGTGGGGTGCCATTGCCTTCTCCCAGGGTAGGTTAATTCACTGCCTCCAAGGCCCTGGTTCTTCCATCTTTCTGCTCTTATATTCTTGGCACATTAACTTGTCCTCTCAGGCTGACTGCCTTTATAATTCTGAGATGACTGCTGAAACTCTGGTTGTCACATTTAAAGCATAACATCCAAAGGTAGAAAAGGAAACGTCACTGTCTTATATTGATTTTTAAATATAAGCAGCTTCCCAGAACTGGCCTCCTACTCCCAGCAGCCTGTGTCTCGTTGGCCAAACATGTGTCACAAGTCCCAGCAGTCACTGTTTAGGGGACCATGACCACCATGCTTGGATTAGACAAAGTCAAGACTTAGCCTGTAGAGCTGGGGTTGAAGGATACATCTAGTTAGAGAAATGTGAATGATATTGGGTTCTTTCACAATGAGAAGAAGTGGCTCTAGAGAAATGAGCTGACAATGTCTGGTATAGTGGTTTCTCTCCACCCTTTGCTTTCTTCTCATCCTCTATGTGTGTCAGATACAGCGGTTTTTGTAAAATTGCCATCAGCCCTCTGCCAAAAAACCTCTTGACAGCTTTCCATTGACTGTGGGCTAAAATCCACAATCCTTTGCATAGCCACCATGAATCTGCCTGATCTGATGAGTGTGTCCATAACCTTACCTACCTGTTCAGAAGCACCTTGCTTTCATTTGCCTTAATAGCATTCAAAAACCCTGCCACCCACTTTCATGGGACCAACTTGTACTTAGCACTTAAGGTATCAGCTGAAATATTCCTCAAATAGGTACTTCCTCACTTCTACACTAAGATAAGGATGTCCTGTTATTATCTCCCATGGCTTCTTGAATTTCTTCTTTAAAATACTTACTGTATTTGTAAATACTTGCTTGCTCATTGGCTTCCATGCAGTTTTAAGCTTTATGAGGCATGAAATACTTCTGCTTTTCCTTTGTTGTCTTTTAAGTTCCCAGTTCCATGCCTAACCATAAAAGGCACCATAATTAAATGATTAGCTGAAAGAAGGAATGAGGTTTGGTTAAACAGAAATGGCAACTTCAAAGTTGAGATTTTTCTTCTACCTTTTAATTGTGAAGGACAATATATGGTAGTCCTAAGAGCGAAGTGTTTAGTGATTACAGATTTGGATTCAAATCATAGATCCATCACTTATTGGCTGTGGGACCTTAAGGAAGTAATTTTCTCTCTCTTAGCCTTATTTTTCTCATTTATAAAGAAAGATATTCCCTTATGTTGAAGAGTTTAGTTAGGATTAGGAGAAAGTCCTTTTTTTCTTGGCCACACTGAGTGGTCTATGGGCTCTTTAGTTCCACAACCAGGGATCAAACCCTCACCCTTTGCATTGGAAGTACAAAGTCTTAATCACTGGACCATGAGGGAAGTCCCAGAAAAAGTTTCTTGATATATTTAGCACAATGCATGGCCCAAAGTAGTGCTTAGTATATAAATATTTGGTGAATAAATGAATGGATGAGCAAACACAAAAGTTATGACAAGTGTTTTGGTAATGCCCCAGAAATAAAGATTTTATTCTAAGAACCATGTAGAGGAAGTGGAGCTCTGAAAAGACAGAGAAGGAACAGAGAGTAATGCAGCCTCCTAAGAGCCCCATCAAGTCTATGTTTCCACCCCCATCTTACAGATGGGAAACAGAGATGGGAGTGCCAAGGTGGCAGCTTGATTCTGAGCAGCTCCAAAGCCTGTTCTTCCACTGTACCAGGCTGCCCTCCTTACGAGGGAGTCATTTGTCGTCTTGGCCAATTATATGAGCTTTACTGGGGCCTTGAGTGCTGATTCTTTGTACTGTGTTTCAGCTGAAGCACCACTGTGTGAAGGATCCATCAGACCTCTGCAACGTTAACGTGAGTGGCCTGAAGTTCTCCAAGGTATGACTAGCCACCAGAGGTGTGACTGTGGTGAGCTACACCTGAGGTGGCTCCTGTCTGTCTGACCATCATAACTTCCAGAGTCTCTGGGAACTGGGAATCTGAGCATAGGAAAGAGGAGAGTCACACAGGGACTCACTGGGTGGAAACAACATTCACAGACACTGTCTTTTGCTATAGATTTGGTATTGCCATTATCCCATGTGAGGTGAGTTAAAGGAAGTAAATAACCTTATGGAAGTGGTTTGAATGTGCATAGAATTTTATTGGGGTATGATTCATTCTGTACAGAGAGTTCTCATCAGAAGAGCCTACAGGAGAAATTTCTCTCAGGTTTCAGTGCCAGGAATGATATTGGTTCTCCCAAGATGCTGATAACTGGTTGTTTTTTTTTTTCTTTTTTTGGCCATGGCATGCTGGATCTTCCTTGAGCAGCTATTGAACCCATGCCCCCTGCATTGGGAGGGTGGAGTTTTAATCACTCGGCCTCCAGGGAAGTCTTGATTTGTTCTTAACTCACAGACTCTGTGACTTATATAATGAGTCATGTTTCTTTCCTTGCACTGGCTAATGGGTAGCTTGGAGCTAGTTTTGTGGCCTGCCATCCCCAGTATATATATTATAGCACATATTTTTGATTTGTAGGCCTTCCATGGCATATAAAGAGAGATTGCTTGTAGAATGCCACACAGAAATTAAAATGTATCAATGTAAGTAAATCTCAAAAGATCTGTGTATCTCAACACAAGTGAATCTCAAACATGTGGTGTTGAATGAAGAAGGCAGGTTGCAGAATGGTATCTACAGTATGATGGCACTTAATATAAAATTTTAAAACATGTAAATAATACTATATATGGCTTGTGGATACACATACATGTAATGCTAGTACTAAAGAGATGTGGGATAATCACCAATTCGGGATAGCTGTTTTTTATGAGAGGGAGGGTAGTGATATGTTGTGGGGGTATCAACTCTCTATAGTGTTTTATTTCTTTAAAGAAATTTGAAGCAGAGACAGCGTAATATTCAGATTTATTAAAGCTGGATAGTGGTTACACAGGCCTTCAGAGTAACATTCACCACACTTTGCTGACTATTTGAATTATTTCATAATAGGGAAAAGAAGAAGCAGAAAAGCCCTTCCTGCCTTCAGCAAGTAACTGCTCTTGTTCTTAACCCTTGAAGTCTTTCCTCCTTCTGACAGCAGCTCTGGAGCTTCAACAAGGCCTCCAGGCAGGGAACTAACCTTGTGTTCTTTGAAATGCCCTTTCACAGGCTAAGGAAAAGGATTTCAAGCATTTTAATTCAGTGATTTACATCAATGCCTCAGAAAACCTGCTTCCTCTAGGTAAGTTTTCTTCCTGAAAACCACCTTCTGCTTCCTGGCTGCCAGTCTTTCATGTTAGAAGTTGCCTGTCTGTTCACCTGTAACGCCATACATCTTTCTTTTGGAGTGCAATGAGCTGGGTGTGGGAGAACTCACAGACCTGGATTCCAGCCCAGAGCCAGCACTACCTACGCAGAACACTTCTCTATGAGCAGCTGCTTCTTTCTCTGTAAATGGAGATAATCCCCTTCCTTCCTTCCTCCCTAAGGCAGGATACTTTGTAGACTCAGACAGGATCAGTACAGTCAGCCCTCCATATCTATGTTTTCCACATTCATGGATTCAACCAAACAGGGATGGAAAAAATTTAGAAAAAATTCCAGAAAGTTTCAAAAAGTAAAATTTGAGTTTGCCAACCACTGGCAACTATTTACATAGCATTTATATTATATTTACAACCACTTACAGAACATGCTTCCTTGGAGGCTCAGTTGGTAAAGAATCTGCCTGCAATGCAGGAGACATGAGTTCGATCCGTGGATTGAGAAGATGCCCTGGAAGAGGGCATGGCAACCCACTCCAGGATTCTTGCCTGGAGAACCCCCATGGACAGAGGAGCCTGGCAGGCTATGGTCCATATGGAATCACAAAGAGTCGGACATGACTGAGCGACACAGCACAGAGCATTTACGTTATGTTAGGTATTAGTAATCTAGAGATGATTTAACATGTACAGGAGGCTGTGTGCAGGTTATATGCAGATGCTACATCATTTTATACAAGGCACTTGAGCTTCCACAGATTTCATTGTCCTTGGTGGTGATGCAAGATGGAGGTGGAGGTTGGGGATTGGGGTAGGGAGTGTGTGTGTGGGGTGGGGATGGTCCTGGAACCAATCTCCTACCCATACCAAGGGACTGTATGTAAAAAGTTTTTAAGTCCCTGAGAGCTGCTATGGGAGTGTAAAGCCTTCTTGTTTATTCAGCGAATCCACAGCGACCCCTGCTGGGTGTCAGGACAGTATGACTGTTTGGCTCTTAGAAATCAGTGTGTTCAGTTTTCTGTTCTGAGCTCAGTTATAGCAGGATATGGTAAGTGCAACGATAGAAGGAATCAGAAATCAACTGGGCCATCAACTGGGCTTTGAGTGTCAGAAGATACTTGTGAGAAAACGAGTATGTAAGCTGAGACCTAAAACACGAATAGGAGTGACGCAGAAATTGGAAGGTGAGAAGGCATCTCAGACCAACAGAACAACAGATGGGGGGCAGCAGTGCCTGATCAGGGACCCTGAAGAAGCTTTGTATGTGTATAAGAGATATAGGCAGGGGAGAATGGAGACTAGAAAGGTGGGCAAGGGGCCCCATATTATCAGGGACACTGAGTGACATGGACTTAACTCTGCAGGCAAAAGAGAACCTTGGAAGGCTTTGAAATAGAGACTCAGTAGTGGCTGTGAGAAGCATGGATTGTAAGATGGGAGCCTGGAAACCTGGAAGATGGTTGCATTTTTCCAGAAGAGGGGAGGTGAGGCCTCAACTGGGGCTGTGGCCGTAAGGGTAGAGGGGATTGAGAGAGACAGCGCGAGAGAGGAGGTAGAAATAAGCCAGACGTGGTAACTAATGGGCTTGTAGAGAAAGAGAAGAACCAAGGGGATTTACTGAGACAGACAGCAGTATAGGAAAGGCAGGTTTAGGGAGAAATAGGATGAATTCAGTTTTGAACGCATTGAGTTTGAAGGGTGTTTTTCAAGAAGTGTGGGACAAAGTCCCTGTCTTTGACGAAACAGTGTGGTCTCTCAGGAGCCTGAGTTTGAAAATAAAGGCCAGCAGGCATATGGAAAGATGCTCAACCTCACTAGTAAATAAAATAGCATCCAAGAACTATTTTATGCCTATCAAATATTGACAGAAATGAGAAGGACTGATGACTGCCAGCATTGGTAGGGAAATGGCTACTCTCGTATTCAAGTGAAATAAATTGGTGCAACATCTTTGGAAGGTAGTTTGGCAGTGTCTCTTAACATAGTCTAGTAGTTCCACTCCCCAAAATTTATTCTACAGAAACAGACTTGAACAAGGATGTTCATTGGAAATACCCTGAACGCACATGTTTCTATTTGACTCTCTAGAACATTCCAACTCACAAAACCAACGTAGGCCACACTTGACACCAGGTTCACTTAGAAGGCTCTGGGTAATTCCCCATGTATGCCAGCAGCACAGCATCAGCACTTCATGTCCAGTGAAATCCTCAGTGCAGTTCCTGAGCAGTTCATGTAGCTGTTCGGGTAGCCAATCATGAGCCACTCTGGCCACACTCAATGGGTTGATGCCAGCACTCTGGCTTAGAAGCCTTATTCACCACAGGAGCAAATAGATGTTGTAACACTCCATGGACAAGTCCCCCAGAGTTCCTGAAAAGGACATGTCCAATCATAGGAGTGCCCACACACAGAGAAGCCCAAAGTTATGGCACCCCCTTCAGATAGGTATAGTTCATTTTTAGTTTCTTCTAGTCCAGATGTGACTTACCAACCTGGGGTCATTTTTACCACAGCAGTTTTCTTTTTAACACAGTGACTGTACCATTTTTTTTCAGGTTACCAATGGAAGAGGGCTAGAAAGTTAACTCAAGGTCCAGTTCTCAAGCAGAAGAAGAAGTGTTCTTAACCTTTTATTCAGATAATCTAGCCACTATCCCTAGGGGTATGGTTAAATAAAATAGGATATGTCTATACTATAGAACATAATTCAGACATTATGCAGATCTGTATGTTTTGACTTAGAACATCTTTAAATCATATTGTTAAGGGGGGAAGAAAAAAGCAAGTCACAGTACAATGTGTGTAGTATGAGTCCCTTTTTGTAGAACGAAGTATCTGTGTGTGTGTGTGTGTGTTTCAGTATACACATAAAAAAGTCGAGTATTATACGTGAAACTTTGAATAGTTATCTCTAGGTATTGAGACTAAAAGGAACTTTTATTTTTCTATTTTTTAAAAAAACTTTGGTGGAAATGTTTACTTTTATAATAAGAAATAATAAGGATCATTTTTTAAAACGGGCTTTGGAGTTAGATTCAGTTCTTGATCTTTCCATTTAGTAATTCTATTTCTAGCAAATCACTTAGCCTGGTTGAGCCTTGAGTTCTTCAGCAGTGGAATGGAAGTAATAATCACTCTTTTTCAGAGTTGTTAGAGACTAAGAGTCCATGTAAGTAAAGCACTTTGCATAATTCTGGGCCTAGTCCAGTGGGAACCCAGTAAATGACCACTATTTTATCTTTCTCTTATGTCTTTTACAAGTTACAGTTTCCCTCTTTCTCCCCCTCCTTTAGAGGCATTTCACACGTTTCCAGTCTTAAAGGAACTAGAGCTTGCATTTAACGGCATCAAAACAGTCTATGTGAAATACGGAGACTTTAAGTCCTTGGAAGTAAGTTGGAGGTAGGGAGTTTTTGGTGCCCACCTGTTTCCCTATAAGGAATGGGTGTAAGGAGTCTACTGATCATGATTTTTGGGAAGGAGCTCTCTGGGTCTTTATAGCTACCTTGCTTCAGGTGGTCCTCTGGGGATGGTGGTGGAGTTGGTGGTGATGATAAGGGAACGGGTTGGTGGAGGTGATGGCAATTGGATGAGAATACATTATACCTATGTGGTGCATGGTCTTGGAAAACAAATGCCAAAGGAGTCTGTGCAGGAGAGTGAGTTTAAATAGAGTATTTTAGGCCAGAGAATTTGAGGGGAGATCTGGATCCAGTGGGGGTTGAGGCATGGGGGTTAAGTTAGGCACAGCAGACTGGCCCAGCTGAATGAGAGGTTGTGAACTTATTCCCGAGGGCCACCCTGGTATGATTGAGCCAGATTGGTTCTAATGAGCTTGGATAAGGTTATTGGCCATAGGCTCAGGGATGAGTGTGAAATAAAATAGGACCTCTCTAAGTTCTATAGCAGACTCTTGACATCTGTATATCCACAGCTGTTTTGTATTTGAAAATATTTTAAAAAATTGCACTCTTCTGGGAAATCTTTCTTCTAGATTTCCCATAGTCATGCATCTTCTGTACATGTTCTCATACTTCAAGTTAATCATGTATCAGCATCTATGAAAACTTTAGGGTAATTTTGTTTCACAAAAAAGTAAAGCTTTTGTCACCACCTGAGAGTCTGCATGCACAGAGAGTAGAGAACAGCAGAACTGAATTGAGGTGTGGGGCAGGCATCTGGCCAGGCTCACTCACTAAGTAACGGGTTCTTCCTCACATGTTGGCCTTCTGGAAAAGCTTCAGAGTCACACCTCAGCAAAATGTCTGCATGTTATGATCCTTGGGGTTTACCTCAAAGAACTGGTAACTTAAATTATTTAATGTACAAACATCAAGAGACAGCCATTCTTCATGAAAACCTCATTTAACCCGGTCTAACCAGAGAGAAACCTTCCGCAAGAGTGCACTTTTAAGAGTTACATGCCAAAGTTTTAAGGCGTTTTAACCATTTGGGATGGTGATCTTCCTGAAATGGATTATACGTCCTTGTATTTTTAAACCATGCTATACTGAATGTAATGGTACTTTTTCTCCACGGTTTCCAGTCACATTGAGGCTCACAGTGCTTTACTATGATTTCTGACAGGAGTGGTTCTCATACTTATCCAGGAAGTGAGGTTCTTGAAAGTCCAATAAAACAAGGAAAGAGAGAAAATTTACAACTCATGCAGCTTTGTGCTAGGTTAAAAAATGTGTTATATCAGAGTTTATTATAGACAGAGGGAAACAAACTCTAGAGATACAGGGAGCCACTTCTTTACCAACAGGCCTGGGAGCTTCTTACAGTTTTCCATTAATTTGTTATTTTGTTTTAAAAAAAAGTAGTTATTGAGCTCCTGTATGTTGTACATTGTTCAGGGACTCCTACATTCCTTACCCCAACCATTTCAAACTCCTACTTCAAGCGCCTGTGGGCCCACAGGGAGGGGACGTGACTACAGGCTCTGACCCTATAGCTGACTTACTGGTTGATCATTAATTGACTTTTTGGAGGCTCTGCCTCATAGTGTGATTGCAACTGATGAAGATTATTTATCCAGCAGACCAGTCGTGTCCAAGGGAATTTGCTTACATAAGAGAACAAAGTCAAGATTCAGAATGTTAATGAGAAGAGGAAATCTCCTGGTCAGTCATTTATTCCCCTCTCTCTATGGTTTGCAAGGGCTCTCTAAGAAAAAGGATAAACCCATCAGATATCCTGAATTTGCAGCCAATAACAGTGAATACTTTGATATGTAATGAAACTTGATGTGACTTATCAGATGCAACATCCAAGTTAGGAATCTTCTCTCCCTGTTTGCCAGAAAGGCTGTCACCCAGAGTAGAACTCTTCAGGAGGCTGATTCATGTCAATGTATGGCAAAAACCACTACAATATTGTAAAGTAATTAGCCTCCAACTAATAAAAATAAATAAAAATAAATAAATAAATAAAAAGCAGAGACAAAAAAAAAAAAAGAAAGACAGCTTTGTCATGCTTTAATTCTCTGTACACAAGTCCGAAAAAGAGTCAACTGGAGTTGACTTTTAAAAGTCAGGACACCTTAAAAGCCAGGACACCTTGTTTGTAGTCGTGGTCCACCACTGCTTTCCCCTAACCTCCTTGGCCAAATAACTTACCCTCTTGGTGGAACTTATGTCTCCCCTCTGTAAATTCTGGGCCAGCTGTGAAATTCTTTGCCCTGCACGTTCTAAGACTGTTCATTTCTTTGAACTGTCCTTACTTCCGTAGAAAGCAGATTTGGACCCAACATTAAATAGCCGAAACAGCCAGAGAAAGGGTCAGCAAACTTTTTCTGTAAGAGGCCAGACAGTGACTGTTTTAAGGTCTGCAGCCCCTACGGTTGTAACTAGTCATAACTGTCATAGCGAGTCCACTCTGCTGTTGTAGAAGGAAAGCAGCTTCAGACAAAATGTAAGCAAATGGACAGGGCTGTCCCCATAAAACTTTATGATGTTGAAATTTGAATTTTATTTAATTCTCATACAATGTTATATTAATGTGTTTTTCCCCCAACCATTTAAAAACATACAAAGCATTCTTAGCTCACGGGCCATACGAAACAGACAGCAGGCTGGCTATGGCTTACACGCCTTTGTTTGCCAGTTTCTGAGCTAGAACCCTGATGGAAAAGCTCAGTATGGTTGGAATGCAGTGAGACACAGTAGAATATGGTAATAGATGAGCCCAGGAAATAACAGAAGAGACCTTAGAGAGCTTGGAAGCCTTTTTAAAGACTCCGACCCTTATCCTATGGATAGTAGGGATCCACTGAAGTATTTGGAGCTGAAGAGTAACAGGGTCCAAACTATATTTTAGAAAAACCACTGTGGCATGGCTGTTGTATAAAGAATGGATTGGAAGGAACATATGTGAGAAGTATTAAGGAGATAGAATCCATAGGCCTTTTTGACTGTCCACGTATGTATATGGAGGAGAGAATTATCCCCATCTTTATCTGTTTAACCAAGCCAGATTTCCAGGTGTTCCTTCTTGAAATCTTCTCTCTCTGCCCCTGCCAAGTGGGATAGCCCATTTGTGTGAACTCTCATTGGAATTTGCTGATGATGGTATGAACTCAGCACTGCTTCGGTGCTGGGCATCTTTCGTGGCCTGTGCAGTCCAATCAAGCCCACTCTATACCATGGGCTCTAGTCATACCCAGACCATTTGTAGATCTCAGAATAAGCAAGGCTGCCTTCTGCCTCCTGACTTCTTTACATGCCACTTGCTGTGCTGTATGTCTTTCTGTCCTTAACAATTTCAGTTCAGTTCAGTTCTCAGTCGTGTCCGACTCTTTGCTACCCCATGGACTGCAGCGTGCCAGGCCTACCTGTCCATCACCAACTCCTGGAGCTTGCTCAAACTCATGTCCATCGAGTTGGTGATGCCATGCCACCATCTCATCCTCTGTCGTCCCCTTCTCCTCCTGCCTTCAATCTTTTCCAGCATCGGGGTCTTTTCCAGTGAGTCAGTTCTATGCATCAGGTTAATACAGTCAGTACTTCGCAAAGTATTGGAGTTTCAGCTTCAGCATCAGTCCTTCCAGCGAATATTCAGGACTGATTTCCCTTAGGATTAACTGGTTTGATCTCCTTGCAGTTCAAGGGATTCTCATGAGTCTTCTCCAACACCACAATTCAAAAGCATCAGTTCTTTGGCACTCAACTTTGTTTTTAGTCCAACTTTCACATCGATACATGGCTACTGGAAGAACCACAACTTTGACTAGACAGACCTTTGTTGGCAAAGTAATGTCTCTGCTTTTTAATATGCTGTCTAGGTTGGTCATAACTTTTCTTCCAAGGGGCAAGTGTCTTTTAATTTCATGGCTGCAGTCACCAACTGCAGTGGTTTTGGAGCCCCAAAAAATGAAGTCTGTCACTGTTTCCATTGTGTCCCCATTTGTTTGCTGTTTGCCATTAAGTGATGGGGCTGGATGCCATGAGCTTAGTTTTCTGAATGTTGAGTTTTAAGCCAACTTTTTCCACTCTCCTCTTTCACTTTCATTAAGAGGCTCTGTAGTTCTTCTTTGCTTTCTGCCATAAGGGTGGTATCATCTGTGTATCTGAGGTTATTGATATTTCTCCCGGCAATCTTGATTCTAGCTTGTGCTTCATCCAGCCTGGCAATTTGCATGATGTACTCTGCATATAAGTTAAATAAGCAGGGTGACAATATATAGTCTTGATGTACTCCTTTCCTGATTTGGAACCAGTCCCTCATTCCATGTCCAGTTCTAACTGTTGCTTCTTGTCCTGCATATAGATTTTTCAGGAGGCAGGTCAGGTGGTCTGGTATTCCCATCTCTTGAAGAATTTTCCACAGTGTGTTACGATCCACACAGTCAAAGGCTTTGGTGTAGTCAATAAAGCAAATGTTTTTCTGGAACTCTCTTGCTTTTTTGATGATTCAACAATTTGGTGAATACCAGCTAGTCTCTGAGGACAGCCTAAGTGTCACCTGCTGTCTGAAGCCCGTCTGGAGCCCCTGGTAGAGGTCAGACATCTGTGCTAGTAGCATTGCTACTTAACAGACACACATTATGTATCTAGCTGCCCGACTAGGCTGTGAGCTCATACAGGGCATGGATTGGTTCACAGTAAGCCTTCAGTGTACAGGCCTTAAATGAAGGGATGGCGATGACCATGACAGGCATCATTAAGCATTTACTGTGTTCCAGGCTCTGCTAAAGGCTTTACCTACACAATTTCTCATAAAAACCCATTATTATTTCTACTTCATAGATAAGGAAGCTCAGCTTAAGTAATGTGTCCAATATCACAGTTAGTCAGGACTTAAAGCCAGGTCTACGGGGGGGTATCAGTTAATTACTGCAGTGGAATCAAACCAAACCCAGCCCTCCTCCAACAGTGACCTACAAACAGTTGTGTTTATGTGTGATTGACTGTGTTTCACTGAAGTGGTAGACTAGGAACCTTGCCCCTGCACCAGCTGTGTAAGATGCTGAAACTGACCCCATTCAGTAGGGGTCAGTGGGTGTGTGTGGGTGGATGTGTTACCAAGTACTGCTCTCCACACAACAGGCCAGTAAATCAAGAGGCAAGTTGTTGGGGCAACGAATAGTGAATTTATTCAGAAAGCCAGTAAACCGAGAAGATGGTGAACTAATGTCTCAAAGAGCCATCTTGCCTGAGTTAGAACTCAGGCGGCTTTTCCACTAAAAGAGGAAGGAATAAAGTCAAACATTTCCTGGTTTAGTCAGCCTCCTGAGGGGAAGTGTTAATTTCTTCCTTCCTGCAGTCATTCAGAGGTGGGCCTGTTCTGGAGTTTTCCTGTGAGCTAAACAGAGGAATTTTAGCTTACGGCTCATTACCTGGGAGGCAGGATTCCCAGAGATGGGCCATTACATATAATTTAATTTTATAGGCAACATCCCTTTAGTGATTAACAGGTAATAAAATAAAAAAGGTTCTTCCCTATTACAGAGAGGGAGGGAAGGGAGCAAAGAGCTAAAGTACGTGTCTGGAGAGGCTCTTCCAGAAAGAAAACAAAGACTGGAGTGAAACCATTTATCATAATTGCCTTTGTGTTTGCAGAGAGAAACTCAGTTTCCTGGCTGGCCCCCTAACCCAACTCGACTATATCATGAATCTCGGTGGCTCGTTAGAATGTGCTTTATGATGAGGTGACAGTTGGGGTCATTGTCCTCATAAGCCAGTTCATTTCAGCTGCTTATTTATGTGCAGCTAACTGTGCCAGGTCCTGTGCTAGATTACAGTGACAAGGCACTTCACCTCAGAGAGTTTATAGCCTAGTCTACCACTGTGCACCAGGACCTGCTCGTTTGGCACATCCATGTACCAAAATCTCTAGTCCTCAGACTTACATCCAGTTATCACAGTTACCTGGCTGACTATGAAAAATACCCTGGAAGCAGTCTAGATAAAGCACTCAAAGTCAGAGGAGGGAGAGATTCCGTCTAGCTGGGAGTGAAAAAAGCTTTCAGAAGGAGGGAGCTTTTGAGCTGGCCTTTTAGGGCTTGGATTTTGTTACATAGAAAGAGGGCATCCCTGAGTGAAAAGCTCAAGCAAAGATCTCTGGGTGGAGTGGGGCAAGGAATAGGGAGGAGTCACTGTGGCCAGCACCGAAAGGGAGAAGCAAAAGCTTGCAGCATGGGAGCAAAGGCTGGCAAACTGGTTGGGAATTAACTCTTGCAGACCTTGAGTGTTAATCTAGAGTCAGGAGGGTTTCAGTCTGTGGTTGATGGGCCCCCTGGAAAGTTAAGAAAAGTAGCCATCTCCCACCTCATGTGTGAGCATGGTTGTCACGAGGAGTGCTTCTGTTTCTCTGTCTTCTATCTTTGCACCATAGTTCCTGGACCTTTCCTTCAACAGCCTGACGGCGGAGGCCATCTGTGACCTGGGGATTCTGCCACATCTCCGTGTCCTGCTCCTCACAGGCAATGGCCTCACCTCTCTGCCACCCAGTTTGGCTGTCGCAGAACAGTAAGTCCCATATCCCAGAGTCTGTCCCATGTGTTTCCCTCCTGAGTACAAGTATCCAAAGAAATAGTCCAAAGCAGTTCTAAAGGGCTGTAAGGACAGAGCTGGGAGAATGCCACTTACTGAAGCTCCCAGTAAAGGTACCGGTGGAAGCAAGGCCCCAAGAGTTGGGGAGGCCTCAGCTAGAGAGTCCATACCCCTCCCCAGTAGGAAGTGACACGGGTGTCTGCATGTCACTGTCCTTTCCTCTGATTGCTCATTCGTAAGTTGTGGCTATTGCTCTTGCCAGACTATTCCCCTTCATGAACCCTCTAAATAAGCTTTGCGTATTTCCATTCTGCACGTTTGTTGAGGCCGTGCCTTCTGGCCAGCATGTACTGGCCCTTTCTCTCTTAATAATAGTAATACATGTGTAATGCTTACTATGTGTCAGATACTGTTCTGACACTCTTAATATATGCTAACTCATAAATCCTCACAACCCTGTGAGGTAAGCGTCCTATTATCATCACCCTCATTTTATAGATGAGGAAATTGAGGCACCGGTAGATTAAATAACTCAACCAGAGTTACAAAGCCAAGTCGCAGAGGCAGAGTTTGAATCAAGTCCATCTGACTCCAGAGAGCAGGCTTATGACCATTACTTTCTCTTCTTATGTTGCTTCTGTACATATTCCAAGGGCTACCTCAGACTGTCCTCTTTCCCTATCAGAAGCCTTTCTGTCTTAACCATTTTAAGTGTACTGTTCAACGTTAAGTACATTCACACTGTTGGGCAACCGTCACAACCATCCTACTCCAGAACTCTGTTCATCTTGCAGAAATTCCATCAACTTTGACTAATGGACATTACGCTTTTAAGAGGAATATCAGATAATTCCTTGGATTCCAAAGATATTCCTTTTTGCCTTCAAGGTAGAGCAGCAATCATACCTACTTTTGATAATTGGTATCAGTCACCTGGCCAATATAATAAACCCCTCTTTTCCTGCCTGTTGGTTCAGTGGAATAAAGAACCCAAGAGGCCAGAAGTAAATTTAACTTCCAGTTAAGTCGAACTATTTTTGTGTCCCCTGTAAAAGTGTTCCTCCCAAGGAAACTCATAGCTCTAACTTAGGAACTCAGAGCTGCAGGAATTAGAAGCAAACTGTAAGAGGAGCTGCTTTCATTTTCATTCATTCATTCCTAGACCTTTATGATCTGGTGTGAGAAAAACAGAATCAGTTTTAGTTGCTAGTTTATGTGACACTCCATCCTGTAAGTCAGCATCCAGTCTCACAGTGGGTAGTCTCCTAGCTAGTGGAATAAATAAGTTATCAGAAGACTGTTTTACAATTTTGTTAGGTCACCTACTTCTGTGTGATGGAGTACATGACAAAAAATTAAACTCCACATCCTTCAGTCCATTATTGTACTTCTTTGCCATGAAATGTGTTCCATGGTTAGAAGCAATGTTATGTGTACTGTTGAAATAATGAATAAGACATTCTATAACTCCACAGATTGTGATGCTTGGCAGAACACTGCAGTTAGGCAGGGAAAATCCATGTCTCAAATACATACATATTTCAGTAAGGAAAAAAAAATCACTACTCCTTTTATGAAAGTAAATGTCCACTCTAGTCATCCTTCTACTGGGTGATTGGCTAATCCTCCTAGAAATGGTGCCATGTTAGCAACTCAGCATTAGCCTCTGTTATTGGCAGGTTGGGTGTTCAACAGGACTGGTAGCCAAATGAATTTTGTGGAGGGGAAATATGTAGCCTTATTCCCTGCTGCCAAGGCCATTTTGCAAGTAGCAGGGTATCTAACTGACATTCATGGAATGGGTCATCTTGTTCACCTGATCATTGAGAGTATTATCTGAAGTGGATAGTCTTTGGGAGAATTCACACGAGATACAAATAATTCTCATCCTGTTCATTCTGAGAGGTCCATTCATATAATTCTCCCTCAGTCCTCCCTGTCAGCAGTTTTACATTATGTTTTCTAAGCTTTGACTCTTCAGCTAAACCACTGCCCATGACTGCACTTTTGGCTATCTCACCAACCAAGTAAAATGAGCAGTCAGATCTTTTGTTCTGGGTTTTCTCTCTTGAGAGGATTTCTCCTCCCCTGTCTTTCAGAGCCACCTTGGTATGGAGTTATAATCTTGCAACACTCTGGTTTTGGTTAGTATCAGCATATCATGCAAAATCTTTTGTAAATTCATTTGCATATTGTTCTCCTACACCCAGTGGTCATAGAACATTAGTTATGGGTTGATGGAGAAGAAACAGTACAGCAGGAGTAGGCATTGTAGAAATCTAAGCAATGTTAATTCATTCAACTTTTCCAGATTTGCTTGAGCTGATCTCCAAAGTTATTTTCATGTACTGAGGGAGTTCTGAACATTCAGGTCATAATGCACATCTCAGGAAACGTGGTCACCTTAGTGTCCCATGGTCAGGTGTTCAGTCTCTACCAACATGCAGGAGTAAGCCAGAAGCTGTTTCTCAAAAGGAAAATAGTTCTATGAAGAATAGAGCATAACTTTGCTCAAAAAAATGATTCTGTAATTGGTGCCTTAAAAAGGCTCTATTCATAGAGTGAGTGATCATTCACTCTATTTATCATCCAAACCAGGAACATAGTTGAAAGGGAAAAGCACCACTATTAATTATTTGGCAATAACAGGTGAAAATTCAAACTGTCCTTGAAAACCAGGATATATGGTAACCCTATCTATACAGCCTTAGACAGTTAGAACACAGTTGGACCTGCTGAGTCATAACACCCAATACCCGTGGTAAATGATGTAATGCCCAGAGAGCAACTTGCATGGCAGTTGGACCTGTTGGAGAGCCTTGCCTTGCTCTTCCCACACAAAACGAGCAGCCTCAGTAAATGGATCAGAACAGCACAAATGTTTTACATGTAGCTGCCCAAATCAAAAAAAGCCAGCAAAGCTTTGTAACTTTTTCTTAGTAGAAGGCAGTGAGAGATGTCTTTCACATTGGAGGTATATTCCAGTATGCTCCAGATAGATACCTGGTCATCAAGAAAATTAATCACGGTGTCAGTTTCTTGAGTTTTTCTGAGGTCTACCTCCATCCTGTGGCACAGTCCATACTGATGCATCTAAAGTATTTGAATTTCCTACCCATTAGCTCCAGTCAATATAGTGTTCTGTGGAATACCAAAATAATCAAGATTTCCATGGATTAGATTATGAGTTAATGTAGCCCCAGGGAAGAGAACAAAGGTATACTTCTGTCCCTGTCAGGTGAAAGCAGACTGCTTCTGGTAGTTCTTGTTTATTAATAAAGAGAAAGTAACATCTGGCATGGGCTTCCCTGGTGGCTCAGAGGTTAAAGTGTCTGCCTCCAATGTGGGATACCTGGGTTCGACCCCCGGGGTCGGGAAGATCCCCTGGAGAAGGAAGTGGTTAACCCACTCCAGTATTCTTGCCTGGAGAATCATCACAAGTGCTAGGGGCTGTGTTGATGTGCTATATTAAGAAGAGTCCACATAGGGAACAGTGGCTGAAATTGGAATCACCATGTGATTGAGTAATTTACAGTCATTCTTCAAGACCTGTCTTCTGCACAAGTCAAATAAACAAGATAAACAGGGATGTTATAGGACTCATCTTCCTTCTACTTTTCTAGTCTTTAGTGTTTGCAGTAATCTCTGCAGTTACCTCAGAGATGTGGGATTATCTTTGATATACTGTTTTGGAAGCAAAATTCCTAGGGCTTCAATTTGGCCCTTCCTATTATAATAGCCCTCATGTTATTGGTCAGTAAAAAAGTGTGGTTATTTTGTCAGTGACTTAGTGCATCTTTTCTAATGATGGAAGAACTGGGGAGATAACCACAAAGTAGGTTTGTGAGTTGACCAGGTCCATTCACAGGCTAAATTTCCATTCTCCCTTTGAATCGTCACAGTCGCCCACTTTCTGGTATGGACCACCATGCCTTTCATACCCCAGACTTAGCACCAATTTGCAGATATTTTCTAGTTATGTTTGAAAGCGTTCATTAGCATTCTCTATATTGTTGGAAATGTTCTATGTCCGCATTGTCCAATATGGTAGCCACTAGTCATATTGAGCACTTGAGATGTGGTTAGTGTGACTGAGGAGCTGAATATTCCATTTTATTAAAGTTTGATTAGTTTTAATTTAAATGTAGATAATCAGGAACTGAATGAGAAACCATGACTCCCCCTGTGGGCAACTCAAATCACTTTTTTTCCTCACCAGATCTAGAGTTCTTTTGGCATATAGGTCATCAGTAACTCCAAATCAGCTTAATTCATTTACAGAAATTGAAGTTGTTTGAAGCTGGTCTTCAGTCCCTGCAAGGATCACACTGTTTTCTAGTTCACACTTCCTCTTTGGATTTAGTCCTCTATTGCCCTAACTTAAAACAGGGGCAGTTGATTGGGGCTCCATTTCTATGACATACTCTGGACTCCAGTTTTTGGCTTCCTGGACTAGCAAGGTTGTCAGAATCTCTACTTAGCTTCTCAGCCACTTCTGGAGTCAGCAGAGAGCCCTAGGCGAAAAGTGGCCCCAAATGTTACATGAATCCCTTCAGGTTTTCTCCTTCCAAATCTTGGTGCCCTAACTTTTCACAGCTTATTAGTTCCCAGATGCCCTAAAGAAGATTGTCTTTTATATATGTATATATATGTATACATAGTCTGGATTTTATAGTTTACACTTAGGAGAGAGTTGGCTCATGGTATTTAGTCTGCAGGACCGTAATCCTTTCCATTTATTTTGGCCAGGTGCCTAGGTGCCTGGTATAGAACCATTTTAAACTAAATAAACTAGCTGGCTATTTTATGAACCACTCCAATGATACAAATATGGGCTGGAGTTTTTCAGGAAGACCAGCTTGCCCTCCCCCTTCCCCTTCTCTGCTCACTCCAAGGCAGTTTTCCCTTGGTTTGGGGATGAGAGGAATGGGCTTAGTTCTGCTTCTGAGGGTACCTTTCTTTAGGATCCCAGGTTCAAGTGAGGATCTCCAATTCTATGCCCCACCTTCTCTTTCAGTAATATCAGCAAATATCCTTATGGCAAAAGTAGCTTTTTATGCCCGGTTTATACCTCTGGAGTTTTATTTTTGTTTTTTTTAATGTGGACTATTCGAAAAAATCTTTACTGAACTTGTTACAGTATTGCTTCTGATTTTTGTTTTGGTTTTTTGGCTGCAAGGCCTATGTGATCTTAGCTCCCTAACCAGAGATGAAACCTGCACCCCCTGCATTCGAAGGTGAAGTCTTAACACTGGACCTCCAGGGAAATTCCTGTCTCTGTGGTTTTAGATTTTGCCACAGTCAGTACTTTACTGTCTTTGCATCTCTTGCATCTTATCTTTTTATTTGTTTTTTAAAAAAATTTTTATTGGAATATAGTTGATTTACAGTGTTGTGTTCATTTCAGGTGTGCAGCAGCATTAATCAGTTATACAGTGTATGTGTATCTACTCTTGCTTAGATTCTTTTCCCATATAGGTCATTATAGAGTACTGAGTAGAGAGGTCCCTGTGCTATACTGTAGGCCCTTATTAGTTAATCTGTTTTATATGTAATAGTGTGTATATGTCAGTCCTAATCTCCCAATTTATCTCCCTCCCTCCTCCTTTCCTCCCTGATAACCATAAGTTTGTTTTCTCCATCTGTGACTCTTATTTCTGTTTCATAAATAAGCTCATTTGTACCATTTTTTTAGATTTCACATATAAGCAATATCATATGCTGTTTATCTTTCTCTGACTTACTTCACTTATTATGACAATCTTTAGGTCCATCTGTGTTGCTGCAGATGGCACTATTTCATTCTTTTTTATGGCTGAGTAATACTCTATTGTGTGTGTGTGTGTGTGTGTATATATATATATACACACACACACACACACACACACATATATATACACCACATCTTCTTTATCCATTCCTCTTTGATGGACGGTTAGGTTGCTTCCATGTCCTGGCTGTTGTAAATAGTGCTTCAGTGAACACTGGGGTGCATGTATCTTTTCAAAGTATGGTTCTCTCTAGATATATGCCCAGGAGTGGGATTGCTGGATCATGCAGTAGGTCTAAATGATAGGTCTTTTTTTTTAAATATATATACTTTATTCATCATTCTAGTTGTTTTCAGTGGAAAGTCTTATCACATGAAGTAAAACAAGTCTTCACCACTCTGTACTTCTATTTCTTTACATATAAGAAAGAGAGAATAAATATACTCCTGCTTATATCAGCATATCAACTGAAATATTTATGCTTTGAAAGCAGTGAGGCTTCAGACAAGTATTATTGTAATTTTCTTCCCACACATCTGTCCACACTCAGTATGCTCTGTCGGTTTCCCTTTTCTGTTAATCTCTTAAATCTTGGTCCCTCATTGTCCGCTCTCAACCCACTGTTTTTCTTGATCTTTATAGTCTTTCGTAGTGTTCTCATCCCTTCCCAAGTCTTAAGTTATTTCTCTACTTCACTTTTGTCATCTGAACTATACACCCATGTATCCTACTTATATCAGACTCATCAGACACATGCCCATGCCAGCATCTCCTCCTCCTATATCCCTGGCCTCACTGACGGGCACTGCTCTTTATCCACTGTGTAGTTTTCCAGGCTATAAACATGGTCATCAGCCTGAATTCTTTCTTTCCTCACCTCTCACAACCAGCTAGCCCCAGAGATGCTTGAGACCAGCTAGAAACCACACAACAAGCAAAGCAGCAGTGACACCAGAACCAGAGCCCAGGGCTCCTGATCCCCACTCCTATGCTTTTCCTAATATGGTACTTGAATTCCCACTCCTGAATGGGAACCCAACCACTGGGGCAGACTCTTACCTTCTAAACAGTTCCGTTAAAGCTACCAGATTTTAAATGGTATCACTTCCCTTTGCTAAGAGAAGGTATAATAAAAATAGCACTACAGCTGGAAATCTCGGTTTCTTCATTACTGCCGGACTCCTGCCACTTCAAAGAACTCTTCTCCCAGAACTGCTGTGGGAAGGGCTCAGCGGGAGAGTCTGATGTTTCCTATGAAGCTTTGCCTCTTGTCTTCCTCACCTACCTATTGATGGCCCCCCTATTTCAAGGCATGTGTTTTAGAGACAAAATGAAACTCCTCTATGTTATAATTGGAGCTGAACTTTGAAAAGGCAAAGTAGTTTGGCTTTTCACAAGAGACAGGTCAGAGCTAACTTTTTTTATTATGGAGCTTAAGAGGAATTTTTTGAAGTCTTACTTCTTAGCTGTTTCATATTTCCCTGGAGTAAAATAAAGATTGGCCAATTAACTATAGATCAACAGAGCTTCTGTGCACCATCCTATAATTGCTTTCAGGTAGATTAAAAATTCACTGTGTGAAAGTTGGTCCTTTCAGGAAGAGGAAGAGAGTGATCTGTGACCCTGAAAAATACCAGGAGCTAAAGGCTTCTTTCCTGCTCTGTTGAGTGTCTCTGGTCTTTGGATTTCAAGCCTCTTGCCCCTCACTTTGCCAGGGTTCTTTTGGAAACAGTATCTGACCCCTTCCTCTTTTTAGTCAGAATTATCATGGTTATAATCTACAGAAACCCATCACTATTAGAGCAACAAAAAAAGGAAGAATTTACTGTAAACACAACGAGGCATCTAACACTCAGGCCTGGGGCCATGCTGAATATCAGTCCTGAGCATTGTGGAGTACCCCAGAAGTTCTGTCTGTCAGCTTTCAGACCTACCCCTCTCAGTGACACACCCCATTTGTCCACAGGTGAGTGCCTGTGTTGAGGCACATGACCAGCCAGAGCTCCTAAAAATACTACAGCTGCAGCCACAAAACAATGATTTGTCTTCCTGTTCCTCTCCTTCTCTCACAGTTCTTAAGAACGTAGCAAATTATCTCTCCTTTTTTTCCTTTGGCCACGCCTCATGGCTTTTGGGATTTTAGTTCCCCAACTAGGGTTTGAACCTGGGCCCTCAGCAGTGAAAGCCAGCAGTCCTAACCACTGGACCAACAGGGAGTTCTTTCTGTCTCCGTCTTCATGGTTTAGTTTAAACATTGCCTTCCCTGGGCTCTCCCCACCTGAGTGGGTGACTTGCATCAAGTTTTGTGCCTGCCTCTGCTCTAGTATTGGTCTCATTGAGTGCTGAGCATCTGTCTCCTCCACGAGACTATAAGAAGAACTTTGAGAGGGGAATGTGTTCTTTTTCTCTTTGTATTCCCTGTGCCTGGCTCCACAAATATGTGTAAGAAAATTTTTGAGTATGAATGAATGAATGAGTGCACAGCTGGCTGCAATCCTTTGGGCTTTTGAACTCACTGTCTACCTTTGTCAGCCTCTCTCCCACCCAGCCAGCAGCTACCCTTCCACTTCCCCACCCTTTAATTCACATACGGCTTGAAGATGTGATGTGAGAGGTGGGCACTGTAGTGGAAAGGGCCTGGGGTTTGGAATCGAATTGGTGCTCTACCACTTTCTAACTATGAGATTTTGGGCAAGTGACTCTTAAGTTTGAATTTCTTCATCTGAAAAGGAGATAGATCACATTTGTCCTTCTCAGTACTACTCTGAAATGACATATATAAGACAACACAATGTCAGGAATGCAGTAGGCTCAGAAAAAAGGCTACTTTCCAGTCCTCTTAGTGTAGGCCTGTGATTCACATATGTGTATGTGTACATGTGACCAGGTATCCCTATGTGTTTGTTTTTGTGTATAGAGAGGATGGAGTTGGAAGGAGGAATGAAAACACAATGTGAGTCATCTATCTCTCAGGTGCTTAGAAATAATTACCTAAGCTTCATCCACATGGTGACACAAATGAATCACATTGATGGTAGTAGCTAAAATACCACTACTTCCTACCCAACGTGTGTGACTCAGGACCTCAGCCTGTTAAATCCCACTCTCAAGTGTTTCTGAAAGTCCTCAGAATTTGAATTTGAATTTAAGAAAAGACTCCTCAGTTCCATACTGATGTGTGCACTCTACAAAGTCATTTAGAGGAGAGCCTCACTGCGGCCAGGAATGGTGCCCTTCATCTGTCCTACCTTATCCCACTTGGCCTCTGCCAGGGTTATTATCTCCAAGTGCTTCTGTGGTTACTAGTTCTTGGGGTGACACAACATACTTGGGAGTCTTCCCTAACCCCAAATTGTGCAGTGTTCTTCCTATAGAATGTTCCCCCTAATTCTGCCACCCTGGTATTTTCCTTGAACATTACTAATGCCTCTCCATCCTGCCCCAACTTGGCCTCACTGAGTCCATCAGTAGATATGTGCAACCTTTCTCCATACAAAAGATTGAATGTGTGAGTGGGGTTTGAGGAAGGGGGTCAGTTGGAGAGGGGATTACACTTTTTGGTACCTCTCTCTGCAGAAATCATTCTTGGGCACTAGAGAAGTTTCCAAGGTGGTTAGGCTTCTTTTTTTGGGTAGGAGGGGGCCACACCACACAGCGTGTGGGATCTTGATTCTGAACCAGGGATTGAACCCATGTCCCCTTGCTTCAGAAGGCTGGAGTCTTAACCACTAGATCATCAGAGAAATCCCCTGGTTAGGCCTCTTGATTGATTCCCTATCCTCCATTTCTTTCTGGGAATGATGGAGCTTGTCCCGTGCCCTTGATCATTATCCCAGATCTTTGTGCACACAGGGAGGCGTCTGTCACATCGCTGACCACCAAGAGGTACATCCTGAGGTTCCCAGCGCTGGAGACACTGATGCTGGATGACAACAAACTCTCCAACCCCAACTGTTTTGTCAGCCTGGCCGGGCTCAGGAGGTAAAGCTAAAAGCCTGTCTCTGTAGGGCCCTCTGTCACCCCCATCCTTGCTCACACCTTGAGCGCTGCTCTGGAAGCCAAAAGGCCTGGCTTTAAATCCAAGTTCCTCCACTTACCTCAGCTGTGTGGCCATGGGTAAGTCATCTCCCCTCTGAGCTTTAGCTCGAGCCAAAAAAATGGGGCACTAGTAAAGATATTTCTGATCACATGATTGGTTTAGAAGCAGCAAAGAGGAGAAAACGGGATCCTGACTCTAAGAGAAGAGATGGAATAAAATAAAAAAGAATGAGAATCAGAAAGATAAGTTAAACTCTTGAGTTCCACCTATAGACAGCCCTCTATACATCCACAGATTCAACCAACATAGAACCTGTGTGGTTCTATGTGCAGGCCTGACTATATTTGGTTAAAGCAATGAAATGCTGGCCTTTAAATAATTAAGTTTTAAATCTCTGGAAATTTTACTTGGAGTTCAAATGCTGTTTACTGAACACTACTTTGTGCCACATTATTTACATATTTTGTCATTTAATCCTCTCAAGAACCTCAAAAGGTTAATAAATGCTACCCCCATTTTAGAGGTAGGGATATTGATACCCAGAGAGGGTAAGTCACTGGCTCAAGGTCACAGAGGAGGAGTAAGTGTCCAAGACTGATTCCATGTTCTTTCCCTAACGTTACTTGGTAAATGTCCCTGAGGTATCATTACTGCTGTGATTCTGTATTCACTTTCCATAACTGAAGACTGAAGAAGTTAAGCCTGGACCAAAACAGGATTTTCCGGATCCCGTACCTACAGCAGGTTCAGCTCCGAGATGGGTCTGGAGACTGGGTTGGAGGCAGGGGGAGTCCCCGGAAACAGCCCCAATCCATGCTGCAGCCCAAGTCGTGGATATATGAGGCCTCAGATGACCAGCCAGATTATACTATACTGCCCATGAAAAAGGATGTTGACCGGACAGGTTAGTGATACCCCTTGTTAAAGAGACTCTTGACCCATAGTGTGAATAAGCATCTAAGAATTGATTCTGAAAGTCTGTGGCTCTCTGGGGAGCTCCTGCTTCTAAACTTCTGGGCCTGGGGAGATTGAGGTCTCACATGAAATATTTCAGTAACTTCCTACCTGTTCTGTCAGTCAAGATGTTTTTACAATCCAGGTACAAGTGGATTTTTTTTCTTTTTTATCTCAAATAGTAAGAGGCTAAAAGTAAGGCTTTCCAGTGATGGTTAATTCTGGGGTGCATTGGCATTCTCAGGGGACTCAGGCTCCTTCCATCCTCTCTTCTCCATCCTGGGCCTGCTTGCTTGTCCTTCCTTGCTTGTCCATTTGCATGTCATCTTTGGAAAGATATCTATTCATCTCCTCTTGATTGTTTATTTTTTTGCTATTGAGTTTTGAGTTTTTAAAAAATTACTTTTTAGATAGGAATCCCTTGTTCATGTACAGTAATTAAAAATATTTTCTCCCCTTCATTAGGTTATATTTTCATTTTGTTCATGGTTCCCTTTGTTGTGCAGAAGCTTTTTAGTTTGAGGTATACAGCAGAGTGATTCAGTTATACATTTATATGTTTATGTTTATATTTTTTCGATTCTTTTCCACTGTCATTTATTGCAGGATTTTGAAAATAGTTCCCTGTGCTATACAGTGCATCCTTGTTGTTTATTTTGTATATAGTGTTATGCATCTGTTGGTTCCATGCTCCCAGTTATGCTTCCTCTTTCTTCCCCTTTGGTATCCATAAGTTTGTTTTCTGTGTGAGTTTTTCTGTTTCATAAATAAGTTCATTTGTACTATTTTTAAAATTCTACATATAAATGATATCATATGATATCTGTCTTTCTCTGTCTGACTTTACTTAATGTGATAATCTTTAGGTCCCTGCATGTTGCTGCAAATGGTATTATTTTACCCTTTTATATGGCTGAGTAATATTCCATTGTGTGTGTATCACGTCTTCTTTATCCATTCATCTATTGATTGACACTTAGGTTGCTTCCATGTAGTGGCTGTCATATATAGTGCTGCTATGAACATGGTGGGGGTACATGTTTCATTTGAAATTAGTGTTTTCGTCTTTTCTGGGTATATGCCCAGGAGTGGGGTTGCAGAATCAAATGGTAACCCTATTTTTAGTTTTTGAAACAGCCTCCATACTGTTTTCCATAGCAGCTTCATCAATTTACATTGCCACTAACAGTGTACAAGGGTTCCCTTTTCTCCACACGTGCTCCTACATTTATTATTTGTAGACTTTTAGCTGATGGCCTTTCTGATCTGTGTGAGGTGATACTTCACTGTAGTTTTGATTTGCGTTTGTCCAATGATTAGCAATGTTGAGCGTCTTTTCATGTGCCTGTTGGCCATTTGTATGTTGTCTTTGGAGAAATAAAGGAATGTTCTAGTTCTGTAAAAAATGTCACAGGTAAATTGATTGCATTAAACTGTAGATTACTTTGGATAGTGTGACCATTTTAATAATATTACTTCTTCCAATCTAATCTATGGTATATCTTACTATTTCTTTAAATCATCTTCATTTCCTTTATCAATGTTTTACAGTTCTCAATATATAAGTCTTTCACCTCCTTGGTCAGGTTTATTCCTAAGTATTTTATTCTTTTTGATTTCAATTTTAAAAGGAATTTTTTCTACTTTCTCTTTCTGATATTTCTTTGTTAGTGTAAAGAACTACAAGTGATTTCTGTATGTTAATTGTTTTTAAATTTTTATTTACTTATTTATGGCTGTGCTAGGTCTTCATTGCTGTGTGAGCTTTTCTCTAGTTTTGGCAAGCAGGGACCATTCTCTAGTTGTGATGCACAGGCTCTCATTGCAGTGACTTCTCTTGTTGCAGAACATGGCTCTAGGGTGCTCAGGCTTCAGTAGTTGCAGCACCTGGGCTCAGTAGTTGAGGCTCCCAGACTCTAGAGCACAGGCTCAATAACTGGTGAATGGGCTCAGTTGCTCTGCGGCATATGGGAGCTTCCCGGATCAGGATCGAACCTGTGTCTCCTGCATTGGCAGGTGGAATTTTTACCACTGAGACACCAGGGAAGCCTTCTATATGTTAATCTTGTATCCTGCTACCTTGCTGAACTCATTTATCAACTCTAGTAGTTTTGTGTGGAGTCTTTAGGGTGTTATATATACATAGTATAATGTTATCTGCATATATGACAATTTTACCTCTTCCCTTTCAGTTTAGGTACCTTGTATTTCTTTTTCTTGTCTGATTATTGTGGCTGGGACTTCCAATACCATGTTGTGTAAGAGTGGGAGTCCTTGTCTTGTTCTAGATTTTAGCTGAAAGGCTTTCAGCTTTTCACAGTTGAGTATTATGTTGGCTGTATTTTGTCATAACTAGCTTTAATTATGTTGAGATATGTTCTCTCTGTACCCACTTTGGCAAGAGGTTTTTTTTTTATCATGAATGAATGTTGAATTTTGTCAAATGCTTTTTCTGCATCTGTTGAGGTGATCTTGTGGTTATTGTCATTTTTTCATGTATCACATTGGTTTGAGTCAACACATCTGTTCTCTATGTCTGCATCTCTATTCCTGCCCTGCAAATAGATTCATCAGTAATATTTTTCTAGATTTTATATATATATGTGTGTGTGTGTGTGTTAATATGTGATATTTGTTTTTCTCTTTCTGACTTACTTCATTCTGTGTAACAGGCTCTGTGTTCATCCACCTCACTAGAACTGACTCAAATTTGTTCCTTTTTATGGCTAAGTAATATTCCATTGTCTATATATACTACAACGGCTTTATCCATTCATCTGTTGATGGACCTGTAGGTTGCGTCTGTGTCCTGGCTATTGTAAACAGCACTGAAAACATTGGGGTGTGTGTGTTTGTTTTAGTCGCTAAGTCATGTCTGACTCTTTGCGACCCCATGGACTATAGCTTGTCAGGCTTCTTTGTCCTTAGGATTTCCCAGACAAAGCACACAGGAGTGGGTTGACATTGCCTTCTCCTGGGGATCTTCCCAACCCAGGGATTGAACCCGCATCTCCTTTGGTTCAATTCTTTACCAATGGCAGGCAGATTCTTTACCAGTGAGCCAACTGGAAAGCCCCGAACATTGGGATATATGTGTCTTTTTCAGTTATGGTTTTCTCAGGATATATGCCCAGTAATGGGATTGCTGGGTCTTCATGGCTACATGTGGGCTCTTCTCTAGTTGTGGCGTGTGGGCTTCTTACTGTGGTAGCTTCTCGTGTTGCGGAGTGCGGGCTCAGCAGTTGTGGCACACAGGCTTAGTTGCTCCACGGCCTGTGGGGTCTTCCCAGACCAGGGATTGAACTGGCGTTTCCTGTGTTGCAAGGTGAGTTCTTAACCACTGGACCACCCGAGAAGCCCAGCACTGTAACCATTAGTCTTTATAAAGTTTCCCTTGCCCTGTTTTATTTTTTCTCCTTCATTCTTAATCCCTCCTCCCATTTCCCATTTTCATGTAAGTATCTGTTTTGTGCTGAGTACGTTTTCCTGGGTATATGGATATATCTCTGTGAAATACATTAGTTTGTGTGTAATGTGTTTTTAGTTTATATAATGGTAATACGCTGTTGAGCCCATTCTGTTACTTAATTTTTTTTTCCACTCAGCACTCTTTTTAAGGTTTTTCTTATTGCTATATGCCCATCCAGTTCTTTCTTTTATCTAATGCATAATATTCCACACTGTGCTTTAACCACACTTTATTCATCTATTCCCTTGCTAATAGACACCTACGTCACCTAATCTTGTGTATGTTTCTTGCATATACACCTGGCCAGCGTTTTTCTGGAATACTTACCTAGAAGTGAGTTTGTTGGATCACAGAGTATATGCATACATAGTTTAAATAAGTGCCACCTGATTGTCCTTCAAAATGGTGGCTCTGGTATACACTCATACTTGAAGAACATCAGAGTTCCTGTTTCCTTACAACCTTGCCTGCACTTGATATTTCCAAGCTTTTTAATTGTTCTAAGTTTTGTTATTTTGGTAGGTATAAAGTGATATTTCATTGTTTTAATATCTATTTTATAAATATTGGTGATATAAGTATTTCTTCATTTACTTAGTTTTCAACTTTTATGAATTGCTATTTCATATCCCTTGATAGTTTTAATATTTTCAATTTCTTCTTTTATTTTGTAATCACCTGACTGTATATTTCATCTGCAATGGTAGAGATGACATTTTGAAGAGAAATTCTTAAGTTTGATTTACCCAAGTATATTAGTTTGCTAAGACTGCCAGAATACCACACACTGTTTGGCTTAAACCACAGATATTTATTTTCTCATGGTTCTGGAGGCTAGAAGTCCAAGATCAAGGTGTTGGCAGATTTAGTTTCTTTTTCAGCCTCTCCCCTTTGCTTTATAGACAGCTGCCTTCTTGCTGTATCCTCATTTGGTCATCTCTCTGTCTGAATTGTCTATGTCCTATTCTTCTCTTCTTACAAGGAGAAACTTCATATTGAATTAGGGTCTATCCTAATGAGCTTATTAACCTCAGTTACTTTTTTAAAGATGCTGTTTCCAAATAGTCTCATTCTGAGGTACTAGGGAGTTAGGACTTCAGCATATGAATTAGGGAGGTGGTGGGGGACGACACAATTCAGTCCATCACACCAAACCTGTGCAGTTTTATCATATGGCTTATGCCTTTGGGTTCTTGTTTAAGTGTCTCCCTTTCTCATGGTCACAAAGATAGTGTCCTATGCTGTATTGCTTTTCATTTTGCTGTTTGATTCTTTCAAAGAGGGTTTGCATATAATAGATTTTTCTCAGCCCATAAAGTACCCCAAATTACCTTTGTTTTGTCATCATCCTTGAATGCTAGCTCACTGAATAGAGAATGTAGCCTTAAAATAATTTTTCCTGAGAACTTTGAAGATATTACTTGATTGCCTTCTAAATCCATTGTTGCCATGAGAAGTCTGATACCAATCTGATTCCCATGCCTTTATAGGAAACCTATTTTTGCTTCCTGGAATAAGATTTCCCTTTTTTCCTTTGGAAATTTGGCTAAGGTGCTTCTGGGTATGGTGTTCTTTTTTGTTTATTTTGTTAGGTACTTTGTTCTTTCCAAGATAGTTTCCTTTATCTTGGAAAATTTTTATTATCCTTCATTCCATTCTCTTGTTTTATGAATTATCTCTTCAGATGGACCTTTTCTTCTGTATTAAATCTTTTATTTGATTATCATACTTTAAAATTACAAAATTAGTAACAGTTTCTCTTCCATAATGACCTAATTTTGTCTTAAAATAAAATAGTGTTTTGAATTCCTTAGAATCTAGACATTATTCTATTTAAAGTTTTTATTCTTTTGGTTAAACAACCTCTTTTTCAGATGTTGGTTCTTCTTTTATATTTCATAACTTTCTTTCATGGTGTTAATTTTCCTCAAATATTAGGAAGTGCCTGACTGTACATCTCTTGAATGGTTCCCAGTCCGAACCTTAGAACACAGGTTCTGGTTTCTGGAGTTCTTCCTTGTAACTGTGGGAAGGGCCAGGGCCTGAGTTCAGATAGAGTGTACCTCAGTTCATCTTCCTAGATGTGGGGGCTCTCTATCTCCCCAGAAGATCACTGCTTAGCACCCATACTTATGACCATGGCTCATCCTTTAGCTAACTCCTACTTTTTTCCTTGCACAAACCTTTCACAGATTCCTTTCAGACCCTTGTCTTCGGAGTTGTTCTTGCCACATGGTGTTCCACCATATTATTGCTTATTTCATTTTAATGTAACCTTCTCAATACAGTATCATTAACATGCGGAAAGGGTCCCATTAGTCAGGGCAAAGGTGAGTGATCCCTGCATAGGATCCAGACCCAGCAGATGCTTTGCTTTATTAGGTTGAACTCAGCTCTTTATTGGATCCTCTTTGTCTGATGATTTCGAGAATGAAATCACTCTGCAGCCTCCTTCTCACTTGTCTCTCCTGAATTCACTGTCTTAATGCATTCTATTTCTACTAATATAACAAATAGTATTTTCAAATCCTCCAACAGAATATCTTTTATATACATTTTTCTCTTCTAAAACAGTTGGTTTGCCTTCTGACCAATACTGACTGCCCTGTAGTTCTGAGGCTTACAAGAGCTTGCATGGTACAAAGTCAGGAAGAAGATCAGTGTGGCTGATACATAGTGAGGGAGGGCCAGGGTAGCATGAGATAAGACTGGAGAAGTAGGCAGAGGCGAGATCAGGCAGGACCTTCAAAGCCTGGCCAAGGAGTTTGAATTTTGTTCCAAGCACAAAGGGCGTGTTACCCGATGCATGTCACAGCTGGTTCCTCTTCCTAGTTAGCACTGAAGCTCAGGACCAAGGAGTACCCCCTCCGGGAGATACTCTGCTGTACACAGCGGGTGGCAGGCGCAGACCCTGGCCTCCTGGGGATCGGTTAGCTCTCTCACCAATCTCCATTCTTTTCTCTTATATTTCAGAGGTCGTGTTCTCATCTTATCCTGGATTTTCAACCTCAGAGGTAGGAAATGCCTACTTTATATTTGTGTCCTTGCATTAGAACATTAGTTTTAGTAAACAAAAATAAGTTGACGGAGCCATGAGAGGTATTTGCATATATAACACTGAGGAAGCCCATTCACTGAATGCATATTTCCTGAGTCCTGACTGTGTGCCTGGCACTATGCTGGCCTCTGAAGATGTAGCAGGGGACTCAACCAACAGGTCCCAGGCCTCACACAACCCACAGACCAGCTTCTATTGTTCTTCAGTAGGGGTGATTCCTGCCTCAAGTGATCAAGCTGGCATTAAATTGAGGCTGCCACTAGGATGAAGCCTAGTAGCTCCTTAACAAGAACCCTTACCCCAAAGCTAGAGCAACCCTGGCCAAACACACTGCCATCTGGGATCTAATCCTTGGTGTCACAGGCTTAGACACTTGACTTTTGTCAGCACATAAAATTCTTTTTTCTCAGGGTAGATGCTCACTAAGCAAGTTCAAGAAGACTGACACACTAATATTTATCTATTTATTCACTTACTCATTTATAGTAAGAAGTACCGTTATGCAGTTAGGTAACCTGCATCCTTGGGTCGCAACTCAGTTATACCCCCTCCCCACAGATACAACTGGGTGAGAAATTATGTCAATTGCTGTATTATTGCCACTTAACAAGCCAACACAGATGTTGACTTCAAACAATGGCAATTTATTATCTCTCACAATTATTTGGTTGGTTAGGTGGTTCTGCTGGTGTTTAGCTAGGGCACATTCCTGCAGCTGGCAGGCTGTCTGGGAGCTGGACTCATAGACAGCTAGCAGGACTTGTCATCTTTATGTTATCTTTTCATCCTGGACTTGTTTGCAGCATGGTGGCATTAGACTTCCAAGAGAGCAAGGTTCTGAAATTCAAGCAACGGCATTTTCTGTTGGTCAAAGCAAGCCATAGGCCAGTATAATACTGCAGTGCAGTTCTGATGCTAGCCACCTGGAATTAGCATGAGCCCCCAAGAGCAGAGTCCCCAACAAGACTGCCCTCACTTTAGGCGTTAGTTGCAAGTGTGGGGGTTCCCAGGCTATTTGTAATGGCAATAAATTCTACAGCTGCCACGATCCCCTCAGGTTCAGTAATTTGCTAGAATGACTCATAGAACTCAGGAGACCATTATGCTTCTGATTACAGATTGACTATAACGGCTGCAAATCAGGACCAGCCAAATGAAAAGATGCACAGTGAGGGCTGGGAGGGTTCAAAACGTAGAGCCTCTTTGCCCTCTCACTGTGGAATGAATGTGTGTCATGCTCCCAGCACAGCTGATGGGTTCACCAGCCAGGTAGCTCACCAGAGCCTCAGTGGCCAGGACTTTCATTGGAGTTTCATTGCATAGCTATGATTGATCGAACCATTGGCCACATGATTGAACTCCGTCTCTAGCCCCTCTCCCCTCCCCAGAGGTCAGGCTGGCTCAAACCCCAGTCCTCTGATCACATGGTTGTCTTTATAGTATGGCCAGCCCCCATCCTAAGTCATCTCATAAGCGTGAACTCAGGTATGATCCAAGGGGTTATGAATAACAAAGACATTCCTATTACTCTAGAGATTCCAAGGGTTTTAGAAGCTCAGTACCAAAAACCCAGGACAAAGACCAGACAAATTCTTTATTGTGCAGCAGCCAGTCTGGTTTCAAAGGATTAGAGATACAGACTGCAGGTCTGAATGGGAGGAGCAGCCAGGTCACTCTGCATAAAGTTGTGTCTAACGGATAGAAGGGCTTGTGGCTATAGAAGCCAGACATTATTGGCGGGTTGCTTAGTGCTCAGGTCCCAATTGTGTGCCATCTGAGAATGCAGAGTGATTTGAATGGATGGAACTTTTAGTGGCCCCTCTATCAACATCAAATACATCCCCCTCCAAGACAGGACCCTCTGTGACCCCAGCAGAGCCAGTCATGCCCTCAGGTCAGGACCTTCCAGACCCAAGCCTGTCTGGTTTTTTCTTCTCTGTGCTTCAGTCTGACTTACCCTCTGACTCACATGGCCTCCCTCTAGATCAGGAATGGCACAGTTGAGGAGATGCCTTAACAGAGTGCTACCACCTTCCCCTCCAGCCTCTGGGAGATTACATTCCGATTTCCCTGAGAGGAGAGTTCCCAAGCACCATCACTGGTTTTTGTTTTACTCTCACCCATGGCTCATCCACTTGTGGCTGTACAAGGTGGAGCCCAGGAAGAAACAAAATACTTGGCCCAAAGTAGGTGCTCCACAAATGGTCATTGAACAAGCAGGTGAAATATAAGTGACTTGCTCAAGATTACACAGCAGTTAATGGCACTTAGATGAATCAAGTTCATCTGAAGCCAGTCATTAGTCCAGCATCTACCCTGTGATTTCCTTTGGCTCCATCTAACTCAAGGAATCAGTGAGTAAACTGAGTTTAGCATAGTTAATCCAGCAACTTCCATTTTCAACTTGATCATCATCCAGGACTTAGTTGCTGTTTTATCCTGGAATGAAGAACCCTCCACTGTAGGATTAGATGAGCAAATCAGAGCAGTAGTTCAAGACTCAGCTCAGCCCTGCTATCTCCTCACCAGGAAAAGTCCCCTTAATGATGCAGGCATGCACCTGCCCTTTTGCTTTCTGGAGAAATCTTAACCCAACTGTATAGAAGGGCAAGTTCAGGATAAGCCACTATAGGGCAGAACGTGGGAGGTGAGTAGGGAGCTTCTGCTGTCTGCACTGCTGCTGTGTCATCCTTTGGCTTCAGAGAACTTGAGACTGGAACTTTGGGTGCCAGAGAATGAACTAACTATGTGACATCAGAGAACTTGGAGCCAGAACTCTAGGCCCTTGGTGACATCCCCCCTTATGACCCCAGAAGCCTCCTTTGGGCCAGCCCCTCTGGAATGGTCATTCTTTCCACCACCCTCCCTAGGAAGGGTCTGTTGGTCCACTTCTTTATCACCAGGGTGCTTTGACTTTGACTCTTTTCCTTCTAAGACGACCAAGGTATGTGCACTTCCGCCCATATTCGAGATTCTTCCTGTGAAGTCATTGAAGGCGAGGAACCAGACGCTGGCCCCGCCCTTCCCAGAGCTGAGGTACCTTAGCCTGGCCTACAATAAGGTGACTCTCAGCTTCTCTACCTCTCTCCCCAGGAGCACAGATGGGAGGGTGGGGTGTGAGTTGCTCTGGCCTGAAAGCCAGCCCTCCCCTTCCCTGCATCAGTAGAATTCAGGCTCAGGAATTCTCAGGGTGGGGGTTCTCAGGGTTGGGGAAACAGAAGGCAAGCAGGCAGAGGCAGGAGTCCATTGATTCAGTCACAGATACTGATTTACCACTCACCATGTGCCAGGCTCTGTGCTGGGCACTGGGGATACAATTGCATGAAGAGATTTGATCTCTGCCCTTGCGGAGCTTGTCACCTACAGGGAAGACGGTGCACGAACAAATAATCACAGTATAAACACGCCCAGTGTTGCGAAGACATTCACAGTGCTCTGAAGTATGTGAAGGGTAGGTCTCACCTCATCATTGGGACCAGGGAAGGTACTCTCGAGAGTGGTGGTTGAGCTGAGATGGAAATCAGGGAGCTTAGTGAGGTGAAGATTGAGGGTTGAGTGACTTGAGACATGTTTAAACCAAAGAGAACAGCAGATGTAAAGTCCATGGAGCAGATTTAATATGTGTTTCATTAACAAGTTTTATGTTAACATGTTTTTCCATATCCTATAAAACTTCCTGTAAGCCCCACTAATTGAGCCCTACTCAGGTGTGAAATGCCAGCAACTTTTAAGAAACCTGGCTTACATTGCTTCTGAGGCAAGCAGTTAGTACAGCCAAACTCCCCAGGTGTTTTCCTCTAAGAGTTATAATTTTAGTCATAACATTTAGGTCTTTGATCCATTTTGAGCTAATCTTTATATATGGTGTGAGATAGGGGTCCAGCTTCATTCTTTTGTATGATATGCAGTTTTCTCAACACCTTTTATTGAAAAGAGTGTTCTTTCGCCATTTAATGGTCTGCTCACCCTTGTCAAAAATCAGTGGACCGTAGATATATCAGTATTATAGATTCTCCTTTTGTTCTTGAAACTGATAATTTTCATCTTTTCTGTTTTTTTATTGATCCAAAATAGAAGTTACCCTTTTATTGACTTAAAAAAATAACTAGCTACTGCTTTCTTTGGATCTCTCTATTGTCTGTTTACTATTTCATTGATTTTTGCTCATAATTTTATCTCTCCTACTCACAATTAGTTTAATTGACTCTTCTTTTTTCTAGATTCCTAAGTAGTATAATTTTAGATCATTGATATAGACCTTTCCTCTTTTTAATATAAGCCACTATAAATATCTTCTTTAAGCACTGTTGGAGATGCATTAAATAAATTTTGTGTTTTGATTTTCATTCACTCAAAATATTTTTAATTTTTTGTGATTTCTTCTTTGACCTATGGTTTGTTTAGAATTGAGTGGTTTAACTTCCAAATATATGGGGCTCTTCCAGATAACTTATATTTGTTCTAATTTAATTCTATTGTAGTCAGATAACATAATGTGTAAGATTTCATCCTTCTGAAATGTATTTAAACTTATTTTATGGTCCACCCTATATTCTAAGTTGGTGAATGTTCTGTGTGCACTTAGGAAAAAAATGTATATTCTGCATTTTGGGGGGATAGTGTTCTATAAAAAGTTATTGTGGTTGCTACAACAGCGAAGTTGAGTAGTTGCAATGGAGGTTGAATGGCCTGCAGAACCTAAACCATTTTTTATCTGGCCCTTGACAGGAAAAGTTTGCTGACCTCTGGTCTAGATGATCAAATGTCAGAGTCCTTCAAGGCCTACTCTGAGTCTCTTCCTCCTCTTCCTCTGTATTTTCTCCTGAGACTGGCTTCACATATCCATTGCCTATGCCCAGTGCCTCACACACTTTTAACTCCTTATTGTATCCCAGACCTACGTGAATTTCTACTTGGAAGTCTAAAAGGCACCTCCAAAGTACACATATCCAAAGTGAATTAATGATCTTACCAATTCAAATTTGAATGTTCTTCCATTGTTCTGTATCTTAGTCAATAGCTGAGTTACTTGAGCTACCAGTTCAAATTTGAATGTTCTTCCACTGTTCTGTATCTTAGTCAATAACTGAGTTACTTGAGCTACCAGTTCAAATTTGAATGTTCCTCCACTGTTCTGTATCTTAGTCAATAACTGAGTTACTTGAGCTGTTGACTCCATTCAGCTACTTGAGCCAAACCCTAGTTGTCATCTTTGATACTTCTTTCTCCTGTACATCACTCCTCCCCACCCACATCTAATCTGTTTCCCAGTCTTGTCAGATTTAGGTCTTCATATTCTTTTATGGAAGTATAGTTGACTTAAAATATTGTGTTAATTTTAGGCATAGTGATTCAGTATTTTTGCAGATTATATTCCACTATAGGTTATTAAAAGATAATGAGTATAATTCCCTGTGCTACATAGTATATCCTTGTTGCTTATCTATTTTGTATATAATAGTTTATATCTCTTAGTTCCATAACCCTAATTTTCCCTGCTTCCTTCTCCCCTTTGGTAACCATGTTTGTTTTCTGTATCTGTGAGACTGTTTTTGTTTTGCATATACATTCACTTTTATTATTTTTTAGATCCCAATATAAGTGACATTAAATAGTATTTGTCTTTCTCTGACTTAATTCACTGAGCATAATATTTCCTAGGTCCATCCATGTAGCTGCAGATGGCATTATTTCATTTTCTTTATGGCCAAGTAGTACCACCAATTTACATTCCTCCCAACAGTGTACAAGGTTTCCCTTTCTCTACATCTTCTCCAACATTTGTTATTAGTAGACTTTTTGATGATAGCCATTCTGACAATGTGAGGTGATATTTCATTGTGGTTTTGATTTGCATTTCTGTAATAATTAGTGATGTTGAGCATATTTCATGTGACACTTGGCCTTTTGTATATCTTTGGGAAAATGTCTATTAAAATCTTCTGCCCAAGTACTATTTACAATAGCTAGAACATGGAAGCAACCTAGATGTCCTTCAACAGATGAGTGGATAAAGCAACTGTGGTACATATGTTCAATGGAATACTGCTCAGCAATAAAAAGGAACACGTGTGAGTCAGTTCTAATGCGGTGGATGAACCTAGAGCTTGTTATGCAGAGTGAAGTAAGTCAGAAAGAGAAATGTAAATATCATATACTGATGCATATATATACTGATGCATATATGGAGTCTAGAAAGATGGTATCTATGAATTTATTTTCAGGGCAGCAGTGGAGAAACTGACATAGAGAACAGACCTATGGACATGCCGGGAGGAGAGGAGGGAGAGGGTGAGGTGTGTGGAGGGAGTAAAATGGAAATTTATGATACCATGTTAAAATAGATAGCCAGTGGGAATTTGCTGTATGACTCAGGGAACTCAAAACAGGAGCTGTGTGATAAAGTAGAAGGGTGGGGTGGGGAGAGAGGTTTGGGAGGGAGGGGACATGGGTGTACCTATGGCTGATTCTTGTATGACAGAAAACCACAAAATTCTGTAAAGCAGTTATCCTTCAATTAAAAAAATAAAGTGTCAAAAAGGAAAACAAGAATCTTCTGCCCACTTTTCAATTGGATTATTTGGTTTTATTTTTGATAATGAGTTGTATGAGCTCTTTGTTGTAGATATTAACCCCTTGTCAGTTGCATGATTTCCAAATATTTTCTTCCATTCCACAGATTGCCTTTTTGTTTTATAAGTGGTTTCCTTTGCTGTGAAGCTTTTAAGTTTAATTAGACTGCATCTGTTTATTTTTGCCCTTATTTCTTTGGCCTTAGAAAATGAAAAAAAATATTGCTGTAATTTATGTCAAAGAATGTTCTGCCTGTGTTCTTCTAGGACTTTAATGATTTCAGGTCTTAAATTTAGGGGATGAAACTGTTTTGAGTTTTATTTTTGTATATGTTGTAAGAGAATGTTCTTTTTTTCTTCTTTTTTTTTTGGCTATGGCATAGTTTGTGGTAATTCCCCAACCAGGGTCTAAGTAACCTGGGCCCTTGGCAGTAAAAGCATGGAGTCCTAAACACTGGACAGCCAGGTGATTCCCAAGAGAATGTTCTAATATATATATTTTTTTACATGTAACTGTCCAATTTTCCCAGGATCATTTATTGAGAAGATTGTCTTTTTTCCATTGTATATTCTTGCCTCCTTTGTCATAGATTGACTGTAGGTGTGTGACTTTATTTCACAGCTCTTTATTCTGTACCATTGATGTATGTATTTTTGTGTTAGCACCACATGGTTTTTATGACCATAGCTTTATAGTATAGTCTCAAGTATGAGAGGATTATACCTCCAACTTTGTTCTTTTTCCTCAGGATTGCTTTGGCAATTCTGGGTCTTTTTTGTTTTTTTTTTTTTCTGGGTCTTTTTTGATTCCATATAAATTTTAGTATTATTTCTTCTAGTCTTCAGAAAAAAGTAATGGGCATTTTGATAGGGATTGCATTAAATTTGTAGATTGTTTTGGGTAGTATGTCCATTTTAATAATAATAAGATATCATGGGATATCTTTTCATTTCACTGAATCATTTTTAAATTCCTTCATCAAAGTTTTATAGTTTTCCAAATACAAGTCTTTTATATCCTTGATTAAGTTTATTCCTAGGTATTTTTTGGATGTGATGTAAAAAAATTTTTTTAATTGAAGTATACTTGCTGTACAATGTTATATAAGTTACAGGTGTACAATATAGTGATTCATAGTTTTTAAAGGTTGTACTTCATTTGAATTACTATAGAATAATGCCTATATTCCCTGTGTTGTACAGTATATCCTTGTAACTTATTTCATACTTAAGGATTTATACATCTTTCTTCTCTGCACCTTTATTTCCCCCTTCCCTCTCCCTGCTGGTCGCCACTAGTTTGTTCTCTGTATCTGTAAGTGTGCTTCCTTCTTATTCACTCATTTCCTGTATTTTTTAGATTGCACATATAAGTGATATCATGCACTATTTTCTTTCTCCATCACACTTATTTCACTTAGAATAATACTCTCCAAACCCATCTGTGTTGCTGCAAATGGCAAGATTTTCTTTTTATAGCTGAGTATTAGTCCAATGTATATATCTATATATCACGTCTTCTTTATCCATTCATCTGTTGATAGCCACTTAGCTTGCTTCCATATCTTGGCTATGGTAATAGTACTGCTCTGAACATTGAGATGCATGTACCTTTTCAAATTAGTGTGTTTTTTGTTTTTTTTTCAGATATTTATCCAGGAGTAGAATTGCTGGATCAATGGTAGTAAATGGTTCCTTCTAGTGTATTTTTCATTTCAGTTATTGCATTCTTCATCTTTGGTTGTTCTTTATATTTTCTAATTCTTTAAAAACTTTTAACTTTTCCTCTGTGGATCCACTGTTTCTCTGAGTTCTTTGGTCATCCTTATGATCATTACCCTGAACTCTTTCTCAGGTAGATAGCCTATATCCAGTTGGTTTTCTTCTGAGGTTTTACCTTGTTCCTTCATCTGGAACATGTTCCTATTTCACCTCATTTTGCCTAAATTGCTGTTTCTATTTTAATGGATTTGGCAGGCTGGTTCTGTTTCTTTTCTGGTAGGTTCTGGTCCTTGTCGTCAATGGTTGTTCTGTAAATAGTTGTGATTTTGATGTGCCTATGAGAAGAGGTGAGCTCAAGGTCTTTCTACTCCATCATCTTGGCCAATCCCTAGTCTGGAATGGATGTTTTTTATGTGGGAGTACCATATGTTGGCTGGATGTCCCCAGTGTCTTTGAGGTGAGGGCTGGATCTGAGGTGAACACCAGCCCGGTCTTTCCTCAGGGTGTGCTGGCCTCTATGATAGAGGGTGTGGCTGGTGTTGGATTAGCTGGCACTCCCAGCAAAGAGAGAAGCTCCCAGCAGAGACAGAGGTTCCTCTGTCAAGGGGCAGGGTCTGCTGCCTAGTTGCGGGGGTAGAAACATCGAGGATCTGACTCAGGCTGACTCTGTTCCCTTTAAGTGTGTGTGGTTTTCCTTCTCCCACACTGGGGCCTTTGCCCTGAAGGAGGGGAAGGTACAAGTAAGTGGGGCTCCTGTGCTTTACAGAGGTCCAGCGCTCTGCCTGTGTAGGCGTCTGCAGTTCTACTCAGCTGCAGTCCAAGTTGCATCTTTCCCCCTATTACAGTTGGCCCAGATCTAGTGCACAGTTGTAGCACAGAGTGGGCAGGGCTGGAGCCTTCACTAGGCTGGGACTGGAAATCTCGGCGTTTTGTGCTTGTGGGAATTGAAGCGCTGCTCAAGCTGTAGTAAGTTGGGCTGCTTCTGTGTAAGTGCCAGCAGTGGCCACCACTGCCCACCAGGCCCCCTGCACCATCTCTGCATCCCTAAATGGATTCTTTTCCCAGAATCTGACTGCCCTAGATCCACTGCTGGGCTGGGGTGTTCACTCAGCTCAGACTGAGAGTGTGGCAAGGTGGCAGCTACTAGGGCACACCATCCCCTGCCCTGTCTGGGGGTGAGCCAGCACCCACACCCTCATCACCAATGCAGTCTAGGCTTCAGCCTTTCTCCAGCCTGTCCCAGCATTTCTCCAGACAGCCACAGGGTTTGCCCTTTCTGTGTAGGACCCCAGGACTGGACACCCTGTGTGTGTCCTGGCTTACTCATTCCCTAGGGTGGTATCCACCACGCCATCTCCCTCTTCCTCTTAGTCCCCTCCCAGGGACACAGGTCCTGACCAAGTGCCTTTCTTCTCATCCTGCCTGATTATGTGGGAGTCTCTCTTGTAACCTTGGAGGTTTAGGAGCTCTTCTGCCAGATTCCATAACGTTTTCCATGAAAATTGTTCCACATGTAGATGTAGTTTTGATGTGTTTGTAGGGGGAAGTGAGCTCCATGTCCTCTTTACTCTGTCATCTGGATCCACCTCCTGAAGCAATAGCCTAGGTCTTCATATTTCTAAAAATTCATCTAATAGGTCCTCTATGGACCAGTATCTTTAATAAACTTTGGTCTGGCCGCATCTCCAGTCTCATTTTGCACCAACCACCCTTTCTCTCTGCTTTTAGTCACACTAGCCTTCTTTAAATCCATCCAACAGGGTTTCTCCTCTTTGCTGTGGTATCTTTCACACATTATTCTTTGTATGGCATGTTTCTTCTCTGCATTAGAGGAAGTAATACTTCCTGCTATGACAAACTAAAAATATCAATGAACGCAAAAGTGTATTTCTTACTTTTACAAAACCCATTGTGGATATTCCTGGTTGGTAGGTGGCCTTTCACGTGATGATTCTTCAGAGACCCAGATCTCTTCTGGGTCTGTCATAGCTCTGTCATCCCTTATAGGACCTTAAGAGAACTTTACTGAATCCTATGCAACTGGTCAGGTGGCTCAGTGGTAAAGAATCCACCTGCTGATGCAGGAGACGTAGGTTCAATCCCTGGGTCAGGAAGATACCCTGGAGCAGGAAATGGCAACCCACTCTAGTATTCTTGCCTGGAAAATCCCATGGACAGAGAAGCCTAGCAGGCTACAGTCCATGGGGTCGCAAAGAGTCAGATCCGACTTAGCGACTGAGCACACATGCACACAACTGGTAGGAAGGTAGTTGAGTGAGGAGAGGATCCTGCAGGAAGTTTTGAATGGGCTACGCCTGGAAATGGCATTTATCACTTCCACACAGGTAGCATTGGCTAGAACTGAGTCATAGGCCCACATCTAGCTGCCTAGGAGGCAAGAAGAAACAGTCTAGCTTTATGCCCAGAAACTAGAGGGAATGTTTCGATTAATACAGAGGCTTCTTTGACACGTACTACAACCCCCACTGCATTCACTCATCACCTTCTGCCATCCTTCAGATCTCAGGGACGCCTTCTCTTACCTCTGTGACGAGGTCAGACCACCCTCGTGCTCCATGGGCCTCATTTCTGTGGCACTGATCACTGATGTAAACACATGCTTCTCTGTGTCACTGCTGCTTCAGTGCTTATTTCGCACCAGGTAGTATTCCTCCAGGATAGGAACTGTATCTCCTTCACTCAGCCCCAGCCCAGAGCTTGGCACATAAAGTCATTCAGTAAATATTTGTTGGCTGAAGGAGCCAAAATGAAAGCCAGTGAACAGGTAATTGCCCCAGGGGCCTCTGGCACTACGCAGTGAGGCTCCAGAGGAAGTCAGACTGAGCTGCCGCCCACTCCCAGCGCTTGGTGCTCTCTGTGGGCCCCACATCTGACTGAGCACCTCCCAGTGTGTCGCGGCATCTGAAAGGCCACTGCCCTGCTCCTGACCACTCTGATTCTGTTTCACTGCTGACAGACACCCAGCCCAAGGTTGTCCCCGGATGTTCTCACCATTCTTCTCAACAAGGAGTGGTTTTTGCCCTTCAGAGGCTGACCTCATGGGGTCGAGTGGCCTCTGGGCCCTGGACAGCCATGGGTCTCCCTTACCTCACTGGCTGTGCTAATCATTTTGATGCATGTGTCCCCCTGACCTCCTGTCCCCCAGCCCTCCCTTGATCAGTGCCCAAACAGGCTACAGTGAAAGAGACTGTCACTGCTATTGACAGACTGGCATGTGTGTAGAGGTCACACTGAGAAAGGTGAAGTATCAGACAAACTGTATACTGAAGTCAAAGTCAGTGCCTTGCCAAATTTTCAGGCTTCTTGTGAGACAAGTACTACATATATTTGTTCTTATTTTTGTCACCAACATCCTTAATACTTGGTATAAGCTACAATATGGAGAAGGGGAAAAATTCTTAGATTTCAATGTGAAACAGTGATGGTGAGATTCAGGCCAAGAGGGTCACAGGTATTCTGGGTGCAGACAGGTGAAATTGCAGAGATAAGACAGTCCCAGAAGTAAGTCCTGTCCCCAGCAGTCTCACTCCCCCAGCCCCACTCTGGCCCCAGACCTTGCAGGCATGCAGCCCTGCATTGTAGGGCCTGGAAGCAGTTGGGCAGAGGTGTGGGGTGGTGTCGATCTGATGCTCTCCTGCTTTCCTTATAGATTGCAAAGGAAGATGCCATCCTGCCAGTAGCTCTCTTCCCATCTCTCTGTGAGCTCATCTTTCACAACAACCCTCTGGTGACCCATACGCGAGGTATGGTACCCACAAACCTGCCCCCTGAACCCAGTCCCCAAGAAGCAATGTGGAGAACCTCATCCCTACCTCAGTGCCAAGCCCTGCTCTGCTCTGTGTCATGGGCGGACAAGCTTCATAGTGCACTGGGGGCTGTAGAAAACAGCGGACACTGCTGAGCACATGCTCTGCACTGACTCATCCCAACAGCAACCCTGTGAAGCAAGCTTTATTGTCCTTATGCACAGAGGATGAAACTGAGGACCAGAGAGAGTCACAGTCTGCCCAAAGTTACACAGCAAAAAAAAAAAAAAAAGAAGGCAGCACTGGGAATGGAATACAGAATTATCTAGATCCTGTGTGAGCTCCATAATGACACTCTGCTCTGTGGGATAAGTCTGCTGCGACCTCACTCCCCACTTCCCAGCTGAGAAGGAGTGTGAAGCCGAACTGCAGAGCCCTTCCCCTCCCAGAGCACACTGAATGCAGTAGCTGCCACGTCAGTAGTGGGACCCACTGTCCAAGATGCAGCAGCTGGAGGCATCTTAGAATCCTGGGTCACTGGAGTAACACTAGGGTATTCTAATCTCTGCTCTACACTGTCTTCATTGCTTCGGGCAAATTCCTTAACCTGTCTGTGCCTCAGTTTCCTCATCGGTCAAATAGGCATAATATAGGTTTCTACCTCCTAGGGCTGGTGTGAGAATTAAGTAAGGTTATACATGTATATGAACAGTGCCTGGCACATAGAAGCCCCCAGTAATTGTTAGCTAACAAAATAATCTTATTTTCCCATCATGGCTCCAGGGGTCCCACCACTGCTAAAAAGCTTCCTCCAGGAGCGGCTGGGAATCCACTTAATTCGAAGGAAGATAGTAAAGGCTAAGCATCATATTTTGATGCCTCGGAAGGACTCTCGGAAGGTAAGGCTTCAAAGGCAGGACCCCCAAGCCCAGAGGGAGTGGAGTCTATTTTAATGTTACAGATCAGCCTGGCAGAAGAGCCACTCCCACCCACAATGCCTCGGATCCTTCTGTTAGGTTTGTAGTAGCAGTTTTGTCTTCTCCTTCCCTCACTGTATGACATACAGATATACCCAGGAGAGGTAAGACAGTCAGAGACCCAAAACTCAGAGTAGGGAGGAGTATGGGAGGGCATTGAGTCTGATCCCCTAATTTTCCAGAGGAACTGAGGTCCAAAAAAGACACTGTGGAGAAGTGGGGGGAAATCAGTCAGAAGACCCACATGTCAGTCTGGTGCCATCATTTTTTATAGCTGCCTAAACTTGGGCAAGATTTCCACTCTCTGAGTATCAGCTTCTCAACTCTAAAACCTCTTGAGTTGCTGAGAGGACTGGATGAAATTGATACATTATTAACGCCCCAAACCCCCTACCAGTGCAAGTGACGGTAACCCCTGGTATGAATGGCTGTGCCAGCCCTAGAATACGCATCTCCTGCCTGACTCTTGGGAGGCATTTCCTGGTGTGGAGAGCGGTCCGCCCTTTCAGTACCTCCCCTCAGCTAGTGGTCCAGACTTAACTTCTAGAATGCCATAAAGTAAGATCCCTTTCATCCAAAGGATTTCAGAAATTTCTGTGAAATGCTTCTCCCTCTTGAACTTTGTCTTCCTACAGCCAAAAGCTGGTCTGGGCATTGCTGACCCCAGAAGTTAAATAAAGATATTCCCTAGGCCCCTCCCTCTAGAGTCTGCCTGTGTACAGCCAACCTCTTGTCTTGAGCCCTCAGGGGACCAGAGCAGCATTTAAAACCAGCAATAGAAATCCCGAGGGTTTCCATCATCTTTGCCGTCTGCTGCCTCCTCTAAGGGTCCTACTACCTCCCTTCCGGTCAGGCAGCTGGGGAGGGGCGGAATCGGGATGAGCCAGATGCTCAGTACGTAATCCTCTCTCCCGTGTACAGAGCACCCATGCTGAGAACTTGCACATGCGCTCCCCTGTAATCCTCACCACAGACAAGGGAGCAGGCTCAGAGAGGTGAAATAACTTAAAAGGGAGTGGAGGGGTCCAGGGGCACCACCATCGTTCCAACTAATGGAGGATATACACACATACCAGTGGCAAAATGAGAAATGAATCAATGCTCTGTAAGTGCTGTCTAACCTCCAGCACGGGCTACCAGAGAGTGTGGTGTGGGCTGCAGGCAGGCTGGAGATGCCTGCATGTCCCCAGTGTGCTCCCAGAGCTGGGTTGGATGTACAGCCTTTTACTCAGTTACACAGACCAAGGTTGCTGACAAGAACCTGTCAGAGCAGGTCTGGACCCACCCAACGTGGAACCAGAAACCAGTGTGAGGCTTCTGAGTGAAAACACAGATGGAAGATAACATGGCCTGCCCTTGATGTTCAGCAGTTCAGCATGCAGGACCCAGTGACTCTCATCCTCTGGCCAGTCAGATTATCCAGTCTTTGCTCAGGAGAGTGGTGGTGGGATAGAGGAAGAGCATCCCCAGCACTCCTCCAGCACAAACCTGTGAGAGGGAGGAATCAATGTGGCCCCTTCCCCACCAGCTGGCAAATAATGGCACTTGTTTTGGCCACTGTGAGGCATGGGTTCTGAAAAAAGACTGGGTCCCTCAGCCTTCAAATCTAAACACTGAGATTTTATGTATTTCAAAAAGGAAATACTTTCTTAAAAACAACCTTATTTTATAAAATAGTCATCCTTCCTATTCCCTAGTTCACCAGGCACATTTGAGCACACCATTGAGATCTCACGTGGGAAAACTCTGCAAGATAGGCAGGCAGGGACTGTTTTCCCCTTGTGTGAGCTCAAAAGGTAGACTGTGCTTGAGATCTTTCCACTGCACTGCATGGTCTGTCAAAGTACAGATGTAAGTAGACTAAAGACTTCTGACAAAGAATAAGCTAATCCACCAGGTAACTAGGGAGGGGAAGCAGAACTAAGCCCAGCTGAGGGAAGCTGGGCACATGGCTCTCTCCTGGCAGATGAAAGTCTACAAGCAATAAATGCTGGAGAGGGTGTGGAGAAAAGGGAACCCTCTTACACTGTTGGTGGGAATGCAAATTAGTACAGCCACTATGGAAAACAGTGTGGAGATTTCTTAAAAAGCTGGAAATAGAACTGCCATATGACCCAGCAATCCCACTTCTGGGCATACACACCGAGGAAACCAGATCTGAAAGAGACACGTGCACCCCAGTGTTCATCGCAGCACTGTTTATAATAGCCAGGACATGGAAGCAACCTAGATGCCCATCAGCAGACGAATGGATGAGGAAGCTGTGGTACATATACACCATGGAATATTACTCAGCCATTAAAAAGAATTCATTTGAATCAGTTCTAATGAGATGGATGAAACTGGAGCCCATTATACAGAGCGAAGTAAGCCAGAAAGATAAAGACCATTACAGTATACTAACACATATATATGGAATGTAGAAAGATGGTAACGATAACCCTATATGCAAAACAGAAAAAGAGACACAGATGTATAGAACAGACTTTTGGACTCTGTGGGAGAAGGCGAGGGTGGGATGTTTCAAGAGAACAGCATCGAAACATGTATATTATCTAGGGTGAAACAGATCACCAGCCCAGGTTGGATGCATGAGACAAGTGCTCTGGCCTGGTGCACTGGGAAGACCCAGAGGGATCGGGTGGAGAGGGAGGTGGCGGGGAGGGACCGGGACGGGGAATACATGTAAATCCATGGCTAATGCATTTCAATGTATGACAAAAACCACTGCAATGCTGTAAAGTAATTAGCCTCCAACTAATAAAAATAAATGGAAAAAAAAAAAAAAAGAAAGCTGAGCAGTTCAGTGGGAAAGAAGTTATTTCCTTGGGTCTAAACTCTGAGAGAGATTTGCCTTATAGGTCTTTATATAAGGTGCAGGGACTGACACCCTGATAGGGGCCTGGTGCTGCCACCTTCCAGAAAATGTGGGACCATCTCACCCAGGCCCTCCTAGGAATCCCTGAGGGAAGTCATGGGCACTGCAGGACACCTTGATCAGAGGAATGAGGCTACTGAAGGGCAGAGTGATAGAGTCAAGGATCCAGAATGAGGCCCGGAGCCTCTGCCACTGAATAACTCTGTGACCTTGGACAAGTCATTTTACCTCTCCGAGCCCCCGTTTCCTTATTTATAAAATGAAGACATTTATTCACTGGGTAGTTTGAGGTGTAAATAAAACATAACATGTCATGTACAGGGCACATCGTAGCTGCCCACTAAGTGTGATTTTTGTCCCTTCCCTCCCCATGAGACCTACCCCAGTGCTTTGACCATTATACTGGTTGGCCTTAGGCTGCTTATGTCCAGAAGGAGAGATTCTGACTAGGAAGCAGACCAATTCAGCCCTTCTCCCATGACAGGTGAAAAATCAAGTTCCCAAGGTGCCAAAGCAGCCTATGATTCTCCCTCACCCATCCATGATGATCAAGTCTCCCTCAAAGGAGATGCTGGAGTCAGAGGCAGAGCTGACTAAGGAGCCGCCTGCCACCAAAACCATTTCTGTGGAGCGAGAGATGCCCATCGAGGGCCTGGGGGGCCTTCCCATGCCCCACCGGACCTTCGTGCCACTGCCTCCCATTTGCTCCAACTCCACTGTGCATAGTGAGGAGACATCCCACCGGAGCGATGCTGCTGGCCGCCTCAGCTCAGGCCACCTGTCAGATGAGGACACCAAGAGCACAGAATCCATCTTCTTGACCCAGGTGCCTGGACCCCACCTGCTCCCTCCCACTTGTTCCCACCTCCCAGGGGTTCCTGTCCAACCCTTAGATGGATGAACTGCTATAAGGCAACTAGAACTAAGCACAAGGCAGATCTGGAAACCAGAAAGCAGCACCCTTGGCAGGGCCTGCAAGCCCCTTCTGGGAGTTTGGAGCCCCCCACTGATCCAAGGTTACTGGTAGGGACACCCATGGGAACAAATCACAGTCCTCCTTTCTCATCACTTGCAGACCATTCCCCAACCCCAGCCTGGGAATGGCTCTCCTGGTTCTTCAAGACTTAGCTTGGGCTAAGGTAACAATCCCTCCAGGAAGCTTCCTGGCCTCCTAGGCTGTTCTAGAGCTTTCTGTGGGCTCACCCAGCACCCCTGTGCCTCCCCTCTGTTACAGCATTCATCTCAGTGTATGGTCATTGTCTTCATGTCTGCCTCCTCTCAGCCCAGACTTGGGTCTTGCCCTTAATAGGATCCAGCATGGGGACCCACACAGAGCTCAGAGGTGTTAATGGAATGCATTTTCTTTCCCTCCTTGGGCACAGGTCAGTGGGTTATCTTCCTCCATCTTCCAGAGGGATGATTCAGAGACAAAGGAGAAAGACCAAAGACCACAATCCACAGCACCCAGAGAGGCCAAGAGTACTCAGAAGCCCCCATCTGCCTCTTGCCCCAGGAAGTACCATGGCTATGAGGAGCTGCTGACAGCCAAGCCTGACGCCACCTTCATTGAGCCAAAAGGTATGTGAGGAGAATGTCTCTAGGGAAGGGAGCCCTCTCCATGACCCAGAGCAAGTCAGGGCAAAGCCAAGGCTGGTACCAAACACTCTTCCAGGCCAGGGTGCCATTTTCCATCTGAATGTCTGTCAAAGGGCTCCTGGGGGTGTCCTGGTTTAGAGCCCTACTTGTCAGGACCCCTGGCCTGGACCTTCATTGGCTTTGAGGTAATCACAGCTGTTCAGAGATTCTAGCCATTCTGAACCTAACTGCTTTGGTTGGAAGTCTCTCCAGGAAGGGTTTAATGAACAAACACTCTGACTAGTCAGATTCCCCGGGTCCTCCCCAGCCCAGTTAATCCCTAAAATGAACATCCAGAATCCTCCCTGTTTGGTTTGAGACAGGGGAGGCAGCCTCTTCTCCCACCCCTTATTTTGGACTGATGTGTTTTTGTACTGGTGCTCAGCTGTGCTCTCGTGGCTGTCAGTCTCTGCAGTGTAACCCTCCGAGGTTAATGGGTTACCTTTCCCCACTCTTGTGCTGTTTTTCCATTAGGACCTGTTTTTCCATTAGGACCTGTTCAGTGATACAAGTATTCACTGAATGATGGCACCTCTGGCACCACAACAGATCAGGCCAGGATATGGGAACAGTGTCTTCTTGGCTAGAAAGGGTCTTCTTTGGCGCCCTCCATCCTTTTACCCAGGGCTGCTTTGAAATGGGGAATGAAGAAGTCAGGGGAGGCATCCAGGAGGGGGATGTGCCTTGACTCGACCTCGTCCTTTTGACCTAGGAATCCAGAAGAATGCACAGGCCTTGCAGCACATGTTGAAACACCCGCTCGTGTACCGCTCCAGCAAGCCCAGGCTGGATACTCTGCAGAAACACTATGTTCCCAAGGAGAAGCGGGTACGCCTCCACCTCACTGCATGTGACCCACCCCTGGGGGCCCTAAGGGACAGAAATGGCTCTCACTTGGGACCTTCAGGAGCCATGCTTTTCCCTGGTACCCCCAGTTCGCTGCTGCCTGTTGTGACTGTAGAGGAGGTGAGGCCACGCAAGTCTGAGCCTGTGCTAACACTCTGCTGTCTCACCTCCTGTCAGACCCAGAGGATCCCTATTCCGCCCCCACGGAGGACTCGAGCCCAGCTGCTGGATGACATCCTCCTTCGCATGCGGGACACCCAGAACATCACAGAGGCGCCACTAGGTATGGCTCAGGCCCCCGTCCTCAGCAGCCAGGCTCTGAGGTCTAGCCGTTTACTCCCCTGCTGGGATAAGGCAGAGGGCTTGTGTCGGAGCAGGAAGAGCCCTTTAGAGCATCTGCCTGACCTTCCTGTGTGCAGATGGAGGAACTGAGCCTGAGTGCAGCAGAGAGCTGCCTGAAGGCACTCAGCATGTTACCAACGGCTTGAGACAGATTCAGAAGGCAGTCCCTCTGGCCTTCTAGTGCCCAAGCTGGAGAGACCATTTTCAGACCCTCAACATCCTCTTCCCACTCCATCCCACTTTATGGGGGAGCTCTGGGCCCAGTCTCTGCTGCTCTGGGATGGGTGGGACCCCAGGTGACCTGGGTGTCCCTCCTGGCTTTTCTCCCTACAGGAGCCGTCCTGCGCCAGCGGACAGAGCGGCGGCTGGTGAACCAGAAGCAGTTCCTGGAGGCCAAAAAGCTGCTGAAGGAGTTCCGTGCGCGCTACCGGCGGCTGGTGCGCTGCTCGCTGCGGTCAGTGTTTGGGACCACAGCGCCACCCCAGGCCCGCCCAGCACTGAGCAGGAGCCAGCCTAAGTTGGGCCACTTCCTCGAATTCATGGATGAATTCTACCAGGAGCCCACAGCCAGTGACTTGAAAGGCTAGGGCTGTGCACAGGGCCATGGATGCCAACTAGCCTGTGCCCTGCACCCTTCACAAGGGTGCCACACCCTTGACCGCTCCTTGGGACGAGTTCGGGTCTCCAAGCTCTCCTCAGCCTTGCTTGCTGGCCACAGAGAGTGGTGAGCTGGTCAGGACCTCCCCTTCCTGGGCCAGGCAGGAACCAGCACCTTGTCCAACAGCAATAAAGAGTGAGTGCATAGAGCAAGGTAGCCCTCATTCCTCTTTGGAGCCTGGGCCATGTCATTTCATTGTGGGAAAGAAACCCCAGCTGATACAAATCCTTAAGAGTCCCATGGGAAACCTGCCTGAGTCACAGGTGGTGACACTGTAATCCCTTAGAGCTGGGGTAAGCACTGAGAAACAAAATGGTTGATGAAAGAGAGAAGCAGCACAGAAGCTAAGGCTCAGAGAAGGTTAACTTGTGCACAGCCAGGTGTGTGTGCGCCAGCCAAGTGTGTGCGCGAGGGGGGACAGGTCCAATAGTGTGTGTCTGTGTTGGGAGCAGGGCTCAGGTACAAAACTGAGGCCTCCAGGACCTTGAAATCCTTGAGGTTCTCTCTGCCAGGTCACCTTTTCCACTGTGATGGCAAATGGAAGGGAGAAGAGAGGACTGAGGATTTCCTTGTTACATGGACATCACCACAGAGTTGGGACAAGTTGAGGGAAGGGCTTACATGGAGTTTCCCAAGGTCTTCTAATCCAGGATGCAAACCAAAGTCCCATGTGCAAATACAGTGGGATGTGACTCTAAAACTGGACTGTGGACTGTGCAGGGTTAGCCTGGACTCAGGGTAAGCAAGCTAGTTCTGGTCAAGGCAGCCGAAAGGGCTGCTCCATTACTGTGCGTGCACAGTACTCCGAACCTACTGCAGAGGTGGGTCAGGAGGCGGCCACTCAGGGCTGAATTCTGGAGAGTGCACTTGGGGATGGACACTGGGCGTGACCTAGTCACCTGGCCAATGATTGCTCCTTGGACTGCTCTCCTGGAGGTGTCTACAAGCCAGACCTGGGGCAGGCCTGTAGTTCCCAGGGTCCAAGAAGCAGTGGCATAGAAATGAAGGATCCACGGCAAGGCACAAAGTCTCACAACCTAAGGTATAATTAAAGCGATTACAGAAGTAGTCTGGTTGCCACAGGTCTGTGGTGCAGTATCTGCTGTATCTTGAGTGTGAGACTATTAGGACACAAGTGTTTGCATGTTATCATACTCAACCACAGCCACAAACAGGCGGCCAGATACATATTTACACCAAGCTGTGTCATACCAGACATACACATTCAAGTTCAGACAGTCTCATGCACGATCACACACATTCTCATAGACATACCAAGTTACGAAGTCAGTTACATCTCACTCACACAGGCACCTGGACCAATTCAGGTAATACCTACAGTGCTACCCTCCATGGCACTCCTGTGCTGGGGCCTGTTGCTGAATTGCCACATTGGATCGCCCAGGCCCAAAACCACCCTTCTGCTAACATTAGGAAAGAGAACCCACCCCAACATTCATGCTGTAAACCTCACTAGGTTTGAATTCAGATCTGGGATGCTCCCTTCAGTCAGAAACACCTATCAAACCATAAGCTCACAGGCCTAAAAGGCTCCTGAGAACATGCTGTCCCAGCTTCAAGGCAGGAAGTCTCTTGCCGTCTCCCCAGCAGACCACTGTTTGTGCTTGCACATCTAGTGACAGGAAGCTCATTCCCTCCAAACGCTGTTCCTTCCTTTGTTGGGAAAACTATTGGATGGCTCAAGTCATCAGGCTAAGCATCTGCCCAAGTCCCTCAGTAATCCTAACTCTGCTTTTTGGCTGAGAGCATATGTGCTCTCTCTGCCCAGTCAGGCCAGTCCTTTACCTGTATGAGACTATCCTGAAGCGGTTATACTTATCTAGATCAGATGCTCTTACCTTTCTGTTATTCCACATGGATACCATCTGAATAAACTGGTTTTCCTATAATTTTGAATGCTGAAGCAAGACATTACAATATGGGGCATCTTCTAGAGCAAAAATGGCACCAGAACTCATATACAGCCTACACTTAGCTCAGATTTGCTTGAGATTGCTCTCCAGAGATAAGACTTTGACCAGAAACAGAACATTCATGAGTTTGCTTTACTGTATTCTCAACTTGGGCCTCTCCTCAGCCAGGCAAACCTACATTGAGGAATGCACTTTAGTACTGTTCAAATAACACATCATCCCATTTGGTCTTGTGTGGGCAGAAGCTTTCCTGATAGGCATGCCTTGAGTCCTCTTTGTCAGAATGCTCTTTTTGAAGAGTTGGAGAGGAGGCACCTAGCAGGGGCACTGCCAAGGATCAAGGCACCTTTTGTGCTCTACTGCAGACAGCAGGTTGAATAAAACCAAAATCCAAACCATTTTCTTCTGGGTAGAAGGGGATAAGGCCTTAAGGATAACTGTATGAAGAATTAAGAGTAAATAAATAGTACATCAGTCACACACAGACAAGAAAATCCATTAGTTGGCACTTCAGACAATCATATTTCCCTTACATAATTATCCATTCTCACTGGAACTTTTAAGGCTCTGCTGGAGGTTAAGGGTTGAACCACTGAACAAAAGCCCCTGCCCCCACTAGTGGCAAAGAGTGGGGAGAAGGCAGGGCCAACAAGGCAAGGGAGAATCTGCCACCATCTGGAGCCAGAGCCCAAAAGCTGCTCTTGAGCTCTCACGGCTTGATCTTTGAGGAGTATACTCCCTTAATTATTTTTACCCTTTATTAAATGAGAGGAAAGGAAAAACAAGAAGCCTGGCCTTCCCTTGGCTTTGTGTCCAACTAGTTCTTAAGACCCCAGAAAAGGTAGAAAGGGAGGCACCCCAGTTTGAGGTTGCCCACAACTACTGAGACAAGGTATTAAGGAAGCATTTACTCACAAAGCAAAGTGTGTAAATATTTTTCTTAGGGAAAAAATACTGATAATACATAGAACAATGTGCACATTCAGTCTTGGCATGTTTCCTTCATCCAATATAACCAGTTTCTAAACTGAAGACTTATGTATATGTATCTTACTGTGGATGACATGTGTCAGGATGCATTTCTGTATCATCTTTGGAGGACAGTCTTCAAGCAGCCTCTTTTTCTAGTATCCCACCCCTCAAAAAGCAGACCTGCTTCCTCATTGGCACAAGAATAAGTCATTCTCGTTGAGTCACAACATAAGTAGCTATATTTACTCCTAAAAGCCAAGCCCAATGACCAGTCTGTGGGTTGATGAGAAATGGCTGGCCAAGAAAAATTAAGTCCCTATGGAGTTTTTGATTTTCAAAGAAGAATGAAGGGCTGACTGGGTTCTAATCCCTGGTAGTTAAAAATGACAGGCTGTTCAATCAAAATATATCACTTCCCAAGATTTCACGTTCACATTACTCACTATGGTGGGGGGGGGGGGGGGGCGTGGTTCCCTACCTGGGTGTGTATTCAAGGGATCTGGGTGCATTTTAATTCTATCTGAAAAAAAGCAGGAAGAAAAAGCTGTTAAAATAATCATTTGGATATCTCCTTCATTAGCAAATTGTGTGTGTGCAGCTTAGAGGACTTCATTCAGACCCTAGATAACTATAGTACAAAGTATGACCCAGGGCACTGAACCCCAAGTTCCTTGTTTCTTAAAGAGAAGGAGGGCATCAGGTGGGATAGTGTGACTTGGGTAATTCCTATGCCCGTTCCAGCTATATAACATTCTGTGATTATGATCCAGCCTTCATTTTTCTTCCCCTCCTTACCAGCTGGCCTTCCATCTTAATGGAAAGCCATGCAAGAAAAAGTTGCTGCCAGCTTTGGTGAGAGGTCTGGTTCGTGGGGAGGTTGGTAGGTTGCTAAGTAGAGATTTGAGTCTCCTCTGAACATGTCAGTGATCCACAACCTTCCTCATTTCTTGGGGCTTTATGCTAAAAGCAGCTTGTGGAGAACTATAATTGTCCTATAATCGTGGGAGGAGAAAGATCATTCTCCTCTGGTAAAAGTACTTCAGAAACAGAAAGCAATATTGCAGTCAAGTTCACAGAACTGATGGGGGTATCTAAAATGTCCAAGGGTGCTGGATGATACCTTGAATGGGCCATCCAAGATCACCACTATGGCCCTTTATGAAACCATTAACAAACTCTCCAGCCACACATACATTCAAATACATTCCAGGAGACACTGAGTTCAAGAGCACAGACTGTCCTTTCCTTCTTTATATCCATGACCCCCCACAGGGTTGGCAAAAGTTCAAAACTCAGGAAATATCTGTCAAATGGAACAAAAAGGATGAGCAGCACAGCCTTCGGTCATCAGCTTCACCAGTCAAACCAGTGGCAGCTTTCCATCTTAGTCAGTTTGTAATCACATAGCAATTAATTAAGCAGCTTTAATCTCTTAAGGGCATTTTTCTTTAAGAGAAAATGAACAACAAAAAAAACACAGAAGGCATTCATCACTAGTGCTTCCTCCAGGCAAAAATTTAGAGATTCCATTTAAAAAAATAAATGAAGCCATTTACAAAAGGTTTTCTTGGGAAACTTCAGCCAAAAAGAATCAACCTTCTAAAAAGAGGCAATTATATGAAAGGGGCCAGGGGCTGGATACATAATCCCCAAACTTGACATCAACCCAACAGGCCCAGGTAACTTCTTTCCAGCAGATACAATCAACGGATCATGAATATGTTCCCAAAGTATCTTGTTTAGAAGGGCTTCGAGCCCCATTCTCAGGAACCACGTTTCTTGGATTTCCCATTAGAATGACCTCCATCCTCCAACCTCTCATAACTTCCCCTTTAATAAGAAAAAACACAATCCATATACACAAAGAACAAAGTAAACAGAACATGGGAAATTTCTATGGTGAAGCAGATTCCAATGATTTGTGAGAAATGTTTGTTTTGTGAGATAGCGTCTTTCATTCTAGCTCACAAACCCTCCCCATCATTCTGTTTTCCTTCCATGTCTTTTTCTCTAAAGAATTCATGTCAAAAACAAAAAAAGAATTCATGTCAAAAACAAAAAAAGAATTCATGTCAACAACTCCATTTGTGACCAACTTCACAATTAAGCAACAGGGGAGGGGAATTCTTTCAGAAAGAAGTATTCAGGTTTTAGTAGTTAAGTATGGGAAGCATGTTAAAATACAGATAATATCTTAGTGGTTTTACCCTCCTCCAAAGCCAGGAAGATGAAAGATTAAGCCTCTTCCTTCCTTAGCCTAAACTACTTTGCCTATATTTGAAGGACTGCTGCTCAGCTGAAAGTCTGGAAACAACTGTCAGTACCATTCAAGGCTCCACAGTAGGTGGTCACTAAACTGGATTCGGCTTTTGGAATATTCACGTAACAAATTTTCACTATGAAACCTGGCGCTAAAACTTGTTGCTACTACTAAGCAGTTTCTTAAAATGAAAGTATTACTTTGGGGAAATATTTAAAATATATATCTTTTCTATTAAAAATATTCATCTTTTTTCCAAAAACTAAAATTAGCTCCAACTGAAAAGTGTTTTTCAAATTATTGGAGATGAAGAAAAAGGAGACAAGTGGAAAAATAAGTGTCTTTGCTACTACCAATGAGACTAGCCTTCCAATAACATTCACTAAGACTGAAAAGGAACTCCATGAAGTGGCAGTAACTGACGTCTTCTCTGAGGGCACTTAGTAAGTCACCGTCCCCATCCTCTACAGACTGCTGCCAGCTTTTCTATCCTGGGCACCATATGCACTCCAGCGGCTTTCGGAGGTCCTATGTTGCTGGGAGGACCTAAAACTGAAGTGGTATGAATATGAAGTAATGAGATTGGTGTATATTTTCTAAACACACATCTGCACATGAGCACGCACAGACACACAGGACACATATATTCAGGTGAGTGACACTCCCCACCAGTAGTCAGAGGAGGTCCCACATATCTCAGTGATTACCCAGGTACTTCAGACATCTCTGGAACTCCTCTGGGAATTGTGTATGAGTTGCCCAAGAAAACGGCTCTGGCTGCGCCTCATTTCTGACTCCAAACCCTCTTGATAACTTACTTTCTCTTCCAAAGGTTCCCAATAGCTTCTGACTAGTTTCAAATTAAAATTCTCTTTCCTATAACCCAAAGATTAAAGAGAAGAAGGGAGGCAAATCTTCTGAGAAGAATCAAAAGTAGGTGATACAGTAAATCCTTTGTGATCTGGATAAGTGAGCCACTGTTGTGAACCTTAGCTTCTGCCCTAGTAAGAGGAAGAAGCTGGAATAGACAACCATTAACGTCCTTTCCAGTTTGAATATAGATGTCTAGATGTCTCTAGACTTAGGACAGTTCCAGAAATGTTTTCACCAATGATGACATCATTGGAAAAACTGTGCAGCATTCAGCTGAGGCCACCGGAGGGGGACAATGTACACTGGGATATATAAGATCTGAAAGGTTTGTTAAAATGCCAGTCACATGGCTTTATAGTAACAGCGCATACATGCACAGGAATGCCAGCCCACCAGATTCCCTAAAATCCTATCCTAATCCCTACTCTCAAGGAGCCCAGATAGGCAGAAGCACCAGGCACCACCAGAGATGCAAAGGACACACGGTGTCACCTGCTAAGGAGAGGAAACCCCAAAGGTCCATGGGACTGAACTGACCAGCTGCACCAGCTAGACACCGTGTTTCCACAGTAGGGAGTCTCAGGACTGTTCTTGCTTGACTTCTGGGCAAATTTTTTGGATTTTAGAACAACACTGCAGATAACTCTTGTCCAAAAGGAGAGTAATAATGAGGTCCAATCATAGTTTTATCTAACAGAGTGGAACCCCAGGAAAACAGAAGGCTGTAAACTGGAGGGATGTGGATAACTGTACAGTATATGTTTACACTTCCAGTCAATCTCAATTATCTGCATGTGGATTTTGCACAATCAATATTCAAAGCCCAGCCAGTTTTCTCTAGGCTCCCCTGGTATGTCTTTGGATTGCTGTCCATTATGGCAACCTCGTAAGTGTGAAAAAAATCCATGGGATTTGTTGTCGGGAGACCCAGCTATCAGTCTGGGCTATGTATGCCCTTAGTAGTTGAGAGAACCTGAACGTCTGCAATGCAGTTTCATCATCAAAAACAGACTAATACCACTTACATATGAGGTCTCCTGAAAAGACCAAATTAAACAATGACTATGAATGTGGTCTGTCAACTACATAGTATTAATCAAATGTTATTTTTTTAAACAAGGAATGTGAATTAACTTTTGTAGAAGCATAAAAACTGATTTCATTAGGTATATTTACTTGAAGCAAAGCTAAGAAGGGGAAACACAATCTTTTCGGATCTGCCAAAGAACTACACTGTTGCACTTCTTGGGGGGGAGAAAAAAAGATGGAACTAATTTTTATCTGCAAGGCTGATTTAAAACACCACCTGCTGAAAGAAGTCAGGAGGTCTATCAATGTAAGAAGGCATCCCCTTTCTCCTCTACCATCTAACCCTGGCCACTCTGCTCCTGAATCTCATGCCAAGCAGGTGCTGCCAGATTTGGCCCAGATGCCCAAGGGGTGGGCCACCCTAGGGAGTGAGGAGTGCTTCTGGCCTGGGTCACAGGGAGGCAGAGACGGAGTTCCCTTGGATATAGTCTACAAAGGCCCCAAAACCTCTCAGAATCATATTTGACAGTGTTTTGCCATTAATTAAAACCCAAAGTGAGAACACTCATTTCTTCATCGTAAATGATCAAGCTCAAAGACCTCTGAGAAAAACAGGTAACACTGTTCATCAGGTGCTACTTGGCCCCCGCCATGCTACTGGACCGCAGGAGATACTGATCCACGCTTCCTTTTCGCCGACTCACAGTCCGCCTCTCGTTGTCAAACATGCGCTGCAACTGCAGAGCCAGCTGCCGGTCCTCTTCCTCTTGCTGCAATTTCTGCTCCATCTCTCGCAGCACTGGGTCTGTTGGGGCAAGACCCACCTCACCACTGCTTTGTCGCAGTTTCTTAAGGGAGCCATTTTGTTCCAAGTGCTTGGTCTTACAGCGTCTTTTCCTGCCCCGACGCAAAGAAGGAAGTGGCTCCTCACCTAGGTTGTCTGCCAGAACACCATTAGGCAGATCAAAATGATTCACTGTCTTCAACTGTTTCTTTGTTTTGAGGACCCCACCCAAAACACTGTTTTTAGGTAGCACTGAGTTAACTGCCGAGATTTTCATAGTTGCTGTTATACAGGTTTTATCTAACTTGGCATCTGGGGATGACCCTGACCTTTCCAGCTGCTCTCTCTCCAAAGAAGTCCCACTGGCCCCCACTGGGAGTTCTGAAGAGCAGCAGGTTTCCAATGGGATCTCAGTGTTCTTTTTACAGTCACCGCCCTGTTCTGCTTTTGTCTGGCTAGAAGAGGAGAAATAATCAAGGTCAGGGGCGGTAGGTCCTGTACACTCAGAGAGAACTTGCCCACTGGACAGTCTTGTATTTAAAGCCAGAAGAGGCTTCTCCTTGCTAGACTGGGTAACTTCAGAGACCAGTAAGTCATCCCCTGTTTCTGGAGCCAGGGAGGTAAGGGTGGCTTTTGAAAGGGTCTTTTTGATCTGCCGCTCCTGAAAGATCTGCTCCCACTTTTTGAGGATCCGTGGACTAGCTTCATAAGAAGTCTGCTTCTGCAGGCTTCTGTTTAGGTTGCGGGGTGTTGATTTGATGATGAGGGGACTCAGCACGCGGCCATCAGGGAGCCTCTTGGGAGGAGTACACGGTGAGCAGACAATGGGCTTGAAATGGTTTAGTTCTTCTGAGATACTGTCATTACTCTCAGGGCTGATAGAGCGTTCTGGCTTATGTAAGGAAGCTAAGGATGACAGGGAGCTGAAGGGCAGACGCTTTTCAATGGTTAAGTCAGGGGCCGAGAGGCAGCGGTTGTTTTGGGTGGACAAAAGGACGCCAATGATGGGGTTGGAGGTCGGGGTCATGGTTGTGACCTAAAAGAGATTAAAAAGATTATGTATACATAATTTTTTTCTTCATCATTCCTTCTTGATGGTAGAGGGGTAGAGAAGAGAAAGATAAGAAAAGAGATAAAGGGTGATACAAACCTAAGAAATGTAGAAAATCCCTAATTTAGAGTGCACCCACCATTTAGAGAAATTCCTACACATGAAAGAAACAATGAGATTGGAAATCTTTATGAAAAAACCTCATCTAGAATTTTTAAGAAGGTTTTTCTAGGAGCCCTCATTCTACCTATCTTCAAACTCTACCTTCAAACTCTCTTCCTTCACATCTGTTTTGTAAAATTCTCCAACATAATTAGTTTGGCTAGGATCCACTGTGCCTCTTCTCTGAAATCGTTCTTTTGCGGCCATGTGCAGGAGGTTATGGGATGGGACGAGAGAGCCCCAGAAGAAGCCTGTGTCTGAGGTCTACCTTGGCTTTGCTGGTTGGGGCTGCTCTGAGTCTGCTCTTTGCTCTGTCCTGACCGGTGTCACTGCAGCTCTGACTCCTTTCCATCTTGGAATTTAGGTTCCTAAAAAAGAATAAAGACAAATAGTCAACCATAGCCTATGATTGCTAAGGAAAAAAAAGATGACAATCTCTTCTGTGCTTTCAAAGCTATGCAGCTATAACAGAAAATATATTAATTAACAAAATAATTCTAAGAATAAATCCTGTCCAAAGAGAGAGTTCTCCAGAGAGGACATTTGGTTTAAGCCTTTGTTTCCAAACTTAGATCCTGCCTAAATAACACAAAACCAAAGGCTATTTCACTCATGCTTAGAGAAATGTAGGGGCACCTCACCTTCGTTAATAAAATGAATACACGGACTTCCCTGGTGGTCCAGTGGATAAGAATCTGCCTTCCAATGCAGGGGATGCAGGTCTGATCCCCTGTCAGGGAACTAAGATCTCACATGCCTCAGGGCAACTAAGCCCATGTACTGTAACAAGAGCCCAAGCTCCACAAGAGAAGCCCCTGTGTGCACAACTAGACAAAGCCCACGCACTGCAAGTAAGAGCCAGTGCAGCCAAAAAATAATTTTAAAAAATAATCATTTAAAAAATAGGATGGATACAGTATTAAATCATGTTTAGAAACATTTTTCTTTCCTTTGCTTAGGCCTAGACCTCTTCTAAAGCAATCTTAAATCATCCATGAAACAAAAAGTACTTAAAAAACACACAGCAATGCACTAGATTCCCATGTAGGGAATAAAAATTAAATATACTCTCTCCCTTTATCTACTACATTTAAGCTTCCAAAGGCCTATATCCTGGTGATTAAGAGATTTCAAGATCACAAGATTTGTCTTGTGTACTATGATTTTACAATGCAAACCAAAGACCAAAGTAGCTATATGATAACACTGATCTTACTGTGTAACAGCTCTACTCAACAAGCATTTAACATAAACTTACTATATGCCAGTCACCTATGAGCACTATCTGGGCGCTGGAAATACAGAAAAGAATGAGGTACAGTCTAGGTCTTCAAGGAATCAGTCCAGTGGAGCGGACAAACAATTCAATATAACACAGTGAAATGGTACAATGAAAAATTATGCCTAATAATTTTGCCTAATAATGGCATAAAAGAGTTATTAATTAATTACCTGGGATGAAGTGAGAACAGGGTTGGAAAAGCCTTCAGTGGCATATATATTTTGAAGGATAAGTAAGAATTTACCAGAAGACAAGGTGGACACTTAGCCATGTAGATGATCCCAAACAGAAATTATTTCGTTGAGTGATTTTATTTAGCTCTGAAATGGAATAGTCATACCTACTCTTTTGAGCTAGAAATTTAAAATTTTACGATAGCAGGCTAGTTCAGAGAAAACTTATAAAGGACGTAATGAGGTACATGTTCTCTCCCAATTTGGGACCAGTCTGTTGTTCCGTGTCCAGTTCTAACGATTGCTTCTTGACCTGCATACAGATTTCTCAGGAGGCAGGTCAGGTGGTCTGATATTCCCATCTCTTGAAGAATTTTCCATTGTTTGTTATGATCCACACAGTCAAAGGCTTTGGCATAGTCAATAAAGCAGAAATAGATGTTTTTCTGGAACTCTCTTGCTTTTTCAATGATCCAACAGATGTTGGCAATTTGATCTCTGGTTCCTCTGCCTTTTCTAGATCCAGCTTGAACATCTTTGAAATTCTTGGTTCATGTACTATTAAAGCCTGGCTTGCAGAATTTTGAGTATTACTTTGCTAGTATGTGAGATAAGAGCAGTTGTGCAGTAGTTTGAGCATTCTTTGGCATTGCCTTTCTTTGGGATTGGAAAGAAAACTGACCTTTTCTAGTCCTGTGGCCACTGCTAAGTTTTCCAAATTTGCTGGTGTATTGAGTACAGCACTTTCACAGCATCATCTTTCAGGATTTGAACTGAAATTCCATCACCTCCACTAGTTTTGTTCGTAGTGATGCTTCCTAAGGCCCACTTGACTTCACATTCCAGGATGTCTGGCTCTAGGTGGATGATCACACCATCATGGCTGTCTGGGTCATGATCTTTTTTGTATAGTTCTTCTCTGTATTCTTGCCACCTCTTCTTAATATCTTCTGCTTCTGTTAGGTCCATACCATTTCTATTCTTTATCGTGCCCATCTTTGCATGAAATGTTCCCTTGGTATCTCTAATTTTCTTGAAGAGACCTCTAGTCTTTCCCATTTTATTGTTTTCCTCTATTTCTTTGCATTGATCACTTAGGAAGCCTTTCTTATCTCTCCTTGCTATCTTTGGAACTCTGCATTCAGATGTATATATCTTTCCTTTTCTCCTTTGACTTTTGCTTCTTTTCTCAGCTATTTGTAAGGCCTCCTCAGACGACCATTTTGCCTTTTTGCATTTCTTTTTCTTGGGAATGGTCTTGATCACTGCCTCCTGTACAATGTCACGAACCTCCATCCATAGTTCTTCAGGCACTCTATCAGATCTAATTCCTTAAATCTATTTGTCACTCCCACTGTAAGGGATTTGATTTAGGTCATCCCTGAATGGTCTAGTAGTTTTCCCTACTTTCTTCAATTTAAGCCTGATTTTGCAATAAGGAGTTCATGATCTGAGCCACAGTCAGCTCCCAGTCTTGTTTTTGCTGATTATATAGAGCTTCTCGACATCTTCGGCTGCAAAGAATATAATCAGTCTGATTTCAGTGTTGACCATCTGGTGATGTCCATGTGTAGAGTCTTCTCTCGTGTTGTTGGAAGAGGGTGTTTGCTGTGACCAGTGTGTTCTCTTTGCAAAACTCTTTTAAGCCTTTGTCCTGCTTCATTTTGTACTCCAAGGCCAAACTTGCCTGTTACTCCAGGTATCTCTTGAGGCCAAACTTGCCTGTTAATTCCAGGTATCTCTTGACTTCCTACTTTTGCATTCCAGTCCCCTATGATGAAAAGGACATCTTCAGGGAGGCCTGGTGTGCTGCAGGCCATGGGATCACAGAGTTGGGACACGACTGAGCAACTGAACTGAACTGAACTAGGTCTTGTAGGTCTTCAACTTCTTTGGCATTAGTGGTGGGGGGCATAGACTTGAATTACTGTGATACTGAATAATTTGCCTTGAAAACAAACAGAGATCATTCTGTCATTTTTGAGATTGCACCCAAGTACTGCACTTTGGACTCTTCTGTTGACTGTGAGGGCTACTCCATTTCTTCTAAGGGATTCTTGCCCACCGTAGTAGATATAATGGTTACCTAAATTAAATTTGCCCATTCTGGTCCATTTTAGATCACTGATTCCTACAATGCCGATGTTCACTCTTGCCATCTCCTGTTTGACCACTTCCAATTTACCTTGTTTCATGGACCTAACATTTCAGGTTCCTATGCAATATTCTTCTTTACAGCATTGAACTTTACTTCCATCACCAGTCACATCCATAATTGCCTGTTGTTTTTGCTTTGGCTCAGCATCTTCATTCTTTCTGAAGCTATTTCTGCACTCTTCTCCAGTAGCATACTGGGCACCTACCGACCTGTGGAGTTCATCTTTCAGTGTCATATCTTTTTGCCTTTTCATACTGTTCATGGGGTTCTCAAGGCAAGAATACTGAAGTGGTTTGCCATTCCCTTTTCCTGGTTAAATTTACTCATAACAATTCTGTTTTTGTTTTTTATTTTTTATGCTACTGCAAATAAAATTGCTTTCCTAATTATATTTTCACAGTGTTCACTGCTAATATAAAAAATGCAGCTGATTTCTGTGTGGTGTTCTTGCATCCTGCAACCTTCCTAAATTTGTTTATTAGCTCTAATAGTTCTTTCATGAATTCCTTAGGATTTTCTATGAATAATACCATATCATCTGCGAACAGAGATGTGAAAGGAAGAATACTTCCTCCTTTGCAATTAGGATGCTTTTCTTTCACAGTTTTACTGAGCTGTGTTTGACATATATTGTATAAGTTTAAGGTGTACAAATTGTTAGCATTTGATACACACACATTGTGAAAGGATTCCATGGCAAGGTTAGTTAACACCTCCATCACCTTACGTAATTACCATTTATTCTGAGGGGTGAAGAACATTTAAGACCCACTCTCTTAGCAGCTTTCAAACACATAAATGCAGTATTGTTAAGTATAATCACCATGCTGTACATTAGATGCCTAGAACCTATTCACCTTAGAATTGGAAGTTTATACCCTGTGACCAACATTTCCCCATTTCCTCTGCCTTCTGCCAACCCCCATTATACTCTGTTTTTATGAGTTTGGCTTTTAAAGATTCCATATGTAATTGACATACAATATTTGTCTTCCACTCTGACTTAACTTTGCTTAGCACAATGCCCTCAACGTCCATCCACACCGTTGAAAATGGCAGAATTTTCTTATTTCTCATGTCTGAGTAATATTATATATACATATATGTATCTCACATTTTCTTTATCCATTCATCCATGGACGGACACTTGAAGATTGTTTCCATGTCTTGGCTATTATGAATAATGATGCAATGAATATAGGAGTGCAGATATCTCTTCAAGATTCTGATTTCATTTCTTTGTGAATATACCCAGAAGTGGAATTGCTGGATCATGTGGTAGTTGGAATGTTTGCTTTTGAATTATATAAGTACCTTAGATATTTTGGATATTAATCCTTTATCAAATATATGATTTGCAAATATTTTCTCCCATTCCATAGGTCACCTTTTCATTTTGCTAACTGTTTCTTTTGCTGTGCATAAGTTTTTTTAGTTTGATGCAGTTCCACTGACATTTGCTTTTGTTGCTTAGTGTCATCTCCAAAAAATGATTGCCAGACAATGTCAAGGAGCTTTCTTTAAGGGGTTCTACCCGTTCAGGTCTTATTGGTTAAAAGTTTAATCTATTTCAAGTTAATTTTTATGAGTGATATAAAATAGGGGCCCAATTTCACTTCTTTCCCTGCAATTTTCCAGTTTTCCCCAGCACCATTTATTGAAGAAACCATCCTTTCTCCATTGAGTTTTTTTGGCTCTCTTGTCTCATATTAGTTGACTGTATATGCATGGCCTATTACTGAACTCATTGGTTAG